CCTATAAATTAAAATGACTGTATGATGCCAAGTTATAATTTAAATTTTAAATTTAAAAAGTTTTTATTTTAAAATTTAAAATTATAATAATTAATAATTTTAAAATAATGAATAAGAAAAATTTTTTAAATTAATTTTAAAATTTAAATTTTAAAGGATTTAAACGAATTTATAAATTTTTAACCATTAAAGGGACAAATTTAGGGAGATATTTTTAATCGAGACTATATGTATAATGAATGTTTGAAATTTTGATTTAATTTTTTTATTGTTAGAGTTAGGGACACAGACAAAAATTAAAGCTGTGACTTCTTGACAGTTATTATATTTCGGTACACCTCAATTGAGTCCCGACTCAATTGAGTCCCGGACCCTATAACTTATGAAGGGACGGTCAGTTTTTGTTACTCTTGGTACCATTAGATAGAACATTAAATAGGCTACAATCAGGGTGGCCCTTTTGCCCTATTTACAGGGCATTTGCCCTATTTTCGACCTTTCCGCCCTATTTTTTCCCTATTTTTACATTTGCCATATTTTTGCCCTATTTTTACCATTTTGTAAAATTTTTACAATTTTAAAATTTCGTAAATCAAATGGCAGAAAAAGTAAGAAATCTGGCTCAAGGACATCCAAAATTCTCAAAATTTTCGCCTGCGGCGCAAAAAATAAAGAAATCTGGCATCTTGGCCTTACAAAATTCTCAAAATTTTGCCTGCGGCGCTGAAAAAGGAAGAATCTGTGAAGACTTTGTGTGAAATTGAGGGATTGGAAAGGCTTGAGTGGAATATAGGCGGATTTTACTATAGAAGATTTAGGAGGATTTACTAGGATTATGGGGATATGACTGGATAACGAGGGATTTATTGATAAAGAGAGGTTTATTTGAGAGATTATTTGTGTATAGGAGGATTAAGGTGAATAGAAGATTGAGTAGTATATAATGTAATATATATTGCTAAGTGTATAAGAAGGGACATCGAGGGAAAACCTCAAGTGCCTCGATATATATCTCTCTTAATCTACCAATCCCAGCATTTAATCCACCAAAATTTGATGTAAAAATACCCGATGTTTCTACTACTCCCAAATCCACTAAATCCTCACAAATCACTAGATAATTACAATAGTTTCTAACATTTATCCATCCTAGAAACTTTGTTAATCTTAAATCCCCTCGGTGACTCTTTTAATCCCCAAATCCATTCATAATTGCTCCCAACTCCTCTATATCCCTCCATTTGCTCAATTTAGCTAAAGCTAGTGAAAAATATGTAAAATAAAACTTCATAATTGAAATTTTAATTATTTCTAAGATTTTTAAATAATGCCCTATTTTTTGCCCTATTTTTGGCCGATTTCGCCCTATTTTTGCCCTATTTTTGAGTGGCTGCGCCCTATTTTAGTGTTTCGGAAAGGGCCACCCTGGCTACAATATACCAAAAAATCAAAATTCTTGACCGACTGGTAAAAAAGTTATGATCGATAAAGTGCCGAAAAATCAGATTTTTTTGAAAAAATTAGTTTTTAAATCATAACTTTTTTATCAATCGGTCAAAAATTCTGATTTTTTGATATATTATAGAGCTTTTAATTCTCTATCCAATGATACCAAAAACATTAAAAATTATCAACCCGTACTTGAGTTATAGGGCCGGGACTCAATTGAGCCGGGACTCAGTTGAACTGCTCCGATTATATTTTGCTATGTTTTCTTGGTCTCTGGATAATTGGACTCCGACTTTCTAATCAGCAAATAAATGTCGATTATAACTCTAAGACAAGTTTCGCTAAGGTTTCTCGATTTACGATTATTTCTTTTTTTCTATTGACTTGGTTTTTTGATTTATTTAAGTATTAAATATACATAATTAGGCCCCATCATTTATTTCCATTGAGATGATAAAAAGATTTTTAATTATTTTATTTTAGAATTTCCGTTCCACTGTTACATTCAGGCGTTCAAAAACATGTAATGATCAATCTCTCTTTACTAATAAAATTTTCATTTTCCCCATTTTCTTTTTGTTCATCTATCCATTTTTATTTATTTATATATTTGCTTTGTTATTTTATTCGAGAATAAAATAATTGAATTGGCAAATTTTTGTATCATTTCTATTTTTTTTAAAGTAATTTAATTCATTTTTAAAAAAATCTTTAAAATAAATTTCTAGAACCGATTTTCATTCATTTTTTGTTTCAGTTAGATCTTCCACAACGTTTTTATAGTTAATTTGAGAAGTGTAGATTTTCTATGAATTTTTCCAAAACTAAAAAAACAACCCAGAAAAAGACCTCAGAAAAATATTTTTTCTAATAAATATTTATTTCAATGTTTTAATAAAAAAAGAAGGCAAATATATTTTCTAGTTAACAGGCTACATATAATATAATCAGCCTGCGCATAAACTCTTCTTCCTTTTTTTTATTGACATTATATCCCACGCATCGTTCACAACATTTTTTATTAAATAAAATATTATATAAAAATATATTTGTTCGTAATATAAACAAGAATAAATAAATAAATAAATATTTTTTTCTCAAAAAAAGAATTTCTAGTTATTTATTCTCATTATTTTTGTTTCAATTCTTTCATTTCTTTTAGGTTTTTTTAAATTATTTAATTAGTAATGTTAAATTGAAATCAGATTTGGGTACATACATATGTATTATAATTATAATTACTGACGATTCTCGTTATTGTCTATGCTTTTGGTTATGAAAAAATCGTAAATTAAAATAAGTTGTACACTGAATTATTAAAGAGATTCCACTATAATTAAATATTTTGTATAATTAGATTCAATTAAAATATTCATATCATACTCTTAAAAGATTTTACTTTTTGATAATTTTTAATTAATAATTTTTGGAACTTATTTACTTTAACTACCCACTCCGAAATTTTGCCGGATATATTATTTATATGGACAATTTATATATCATTCGAAAGAGCTCGTTGAGCTGCATCGAAATACACCAAAATCAACACGCGGTCTCATGTCTGAGCTGAGACAAATGGGCTCAAAATGGTCAGAACAAACCTGTGTAAAACCCACGTTTCGCGGCACGTGCATCGTGGGGAGCTAAAGGTCGCTGAGTTCTACACTGTAACATAAACCTATACTTTTTTTTAAGATTTTCAGCCTTGAAATTCGGACCTACCCCCCTAGCCGCACAAAAGCAGTTATTCCAGCAAAATTTAGTTCCTCGTAATTTTGTTCAAAATCCTCAAAACAAGCTGATTTTGTTATCATTCGACTCAGCTCGTCAAGCTCTTTCGATTGACATATATATTTTCAAAATCTAATTGAAAAATCCCCCACTAAAATTTTGGGGTGGGTAGTTAAAGTAAATAAGTTCCTAATTTTTAATAATTTCTAAGATTTTAATTTATTTTCTAAATTTTAATTGTTTTATTTATTAAACGATTTAAATATTGAATTGTTAAAGGGCCGATTAATTAATTTTTATTTCTAAATATTAAAAAAATTATTATTATAATTATTTATTATTTTAATTTCCTTTCTTCCATCATATGAGTATTATGTACATCATATTGTTTATAAAATTTTAAATGCACTCATAATTCAGCGAACAACCTAATGCCTTTATTTTTAATAAAATTATGAGCACATCTTTCATTTTTAAATTTATTGAATGAACTTTTCTATTATTTTATTTTAAAAGGAAATAATTTAATAATTAATAATTATTAAAAATGTCTAAAACCGATGAAAAAAATATGATGGGTAAGTTTTTAAAATTATTTTTAAAATTTTGAATTAAATAAATTTTAAAATCTATACTTGAATATTATAAAATAAAGTGCATATTTTTTCGAAAGTTCTGTTTCTGTTTATTCTACATATCAGAATTTCTTCATTTTGATTTAAAAATATTCGAATGCTCTATATACTTTACTATTTCTGTTAAAAATCATATTATATTGGCCCATTTGTTTAAATATTTACAGCTTTTTATAGTTAAATATAAACCATAATTAATTTCTAGAGGTTGGTCGGAATACAGCCTCACGCATTCTGACGTTTTTCCTCTGATTTCCAAAAATTTTTTTAATCTACTATTTCGATAGTTAGACTTGTTTTGACTTCAGTCTCATCTCGTTTCCACTTCTTCGATTGTTCCTGCCGTCCTCTAATAATTTCATTAATTTTCTGATAATTCTTACCGTATTTATTCTAATAGTACTACAGTGGTTCTATTTTTCAACCCTTCGATTTTTGTGGTTATATTAGAGACTGTGGTTCAAATAGAGACTGTGGCTTTATTTTTCAATCTTTTTTAGGAAAAATAGGAAAAATATTGAGAATTTTTCTTGTCATATTCTCCAAAAATAATTATAATTTTTAATCAATTTGGTGGTTTCTCGATTCAAAATTCTCTAGATTTTCGACTGCGGCGCCAGATTTAACAAGAATGTCGATTTTCTATAATAAGATCTAACCCTCAACTCGGTTTCCTAGTAAGAGAACCTAAGAAATTTACTAAGAACTCCTACCTCGTTGTTATATTAAAGTTTTGGAATGGAGGCATTTATAAGGGAACAATTAGAGTTGATACACTGGTATAGCAAGAGAATTGGATTCCTATTAATTCTGTAAAAATTCACAACCTCTTAATTTATCTTAATCATTCTCAATCCCCCAAATCCTCGTATAGATCAAATTCTCCTCATCTTCTTAGTCCTCCCAAATCTTTCTATATTTCCTCATAATCCACTTTATCTCATTTTCCTCATAATCCCCCGACACTTTAGCTCTCATAAATTCTCCTACTGAATATGCCATGGGCTTTCCTGGATTTGTTAAGGTTAACGAGAATTATAGTACTTATGTATTTAAGAGTATGAGAGATATGTGGTTATATTAGAGACTGTGGTTGTATTTTTCAACTCTCCATTCGATGTGGTTATATTAGAGACCGTGGTTCAAATAGAGACGTAGTACTATTAGAATAAATACGGTAACTTAATGCTGAGATCAAAATTTATTGTTTATTGTATAGCTTTCCAGTCATTGTATTTCAATATAAAACAATATATACAAATATTTTATTATTATTTTTAATTATCGAAAATTAATTTTGCTAATTAAGGAAGATGGGGTGCCACTTCCTACATTGTTGGCAACATAATAGGTTCTGGTATATTTATAACACCCACGACAATTTTAAATAATGTTCACTCTGTTGGGGCTTCTTTGTTAATTTGGATTTTGGCTGGAATTATAGCTACTTTGGGCGCTTTGTGTTATGTTGAATTAGGGACGAGTATTAGAAAATCTGGCGGTGATTTTGCTTATTTGTGCCATGTTAGATGGTAAAAAAATATTTTAAAAACAAAGTTTATCTTTTAAAATAGGACAGCGATTGCTTTTTCTTTTATGTCCTGTGCTTGTATTTTTACTAATCCGGGGACTATGGCTATACAGATGGAGACGTAAGTGCGTTTTTTGTGTTTAAATTTTGCAAGAATATGCTCAAATAATTATTTTGGTTAAGTAATATTGCTTCAACTTGATTGAGTGGGTGATTGAGAGGGGTAAAATTATTTGAGAGAGTAATCATTCGAGCATTGACAGTATCACACTAACTTGCCAGCAGAGGGGGGTCGGAATTCCGACAATCTAATTTCCGACACCTTCGTCATTTTTAACTCACATCTGCTTTCCAGGGACGATTTCCACAAATCCGGACATTTTTATAAACTAGACCCTTTATCATCCTATTCATCCCTGCCAAAGAGCATACGTAACTAAAAAGAATTAAAGATTAGTCCAAGAACAATTTTGTTTTAACCAGATTATTATTTAAATATAATTTTTAAATTTAGATTTTCTGAATATGTTATTCAAGGACTTAAGGTAAATTTAATTTAATTCTAAAAGATTGTTTCTATTTTTTTCAAATTTTAGTTAGAATTTTGTAATTCATCAACACGTTTTATTGTAAATAAACTTATATCATTCAGTCTTATTCGTAAATAAACCTTTAATTTCATGCCTAAAATATATTTTCAAGTACTCCTATATTTTCTCAATTGTTTCTCAGTTCGAGCTGTTGTAGCTAGATTCCAAATGGTGGCTATGGGAGCTAAAGTTATTGCTAGCGGAATTATTGTTATTTGTGGAATTGTTGTTTGGTTAAGCTTAGGTTAAGGCTTTTTCTAATTGATAATTATATAATTTCCAAAAAAGGTGTCCAATCTGATAATTTCAAAGAACCTTTTGCCCACAGTAATTTTTACCCTGGCAGTGTTGCTTTGGCATTATTCTCCGGACTTTTTAGTTATGATGGATGGGATATTTTAAATTATGGAGCTGAGGATGTTAAAAAGCCTAGAAGGTTTTATTTTTGTAAATAATCTTTCTAATACATGCACGGCCAATTCTGTTTTCCCGTTATAGTTATTTACTGACCTTGAGATCTATGTAGAATCCTTTTGACGATTTTATTCCATTAGCTATAGAATTTAAGTTATAATTTATTTTTTGTGGAAAAATTAATGAAAAATATATCCAAAACTTTTAATTTTCAAGTTTCCCTATAATATATCTTAACTAAACAAAAATTTAATCAAAAAAAGAGTAATGCCTTTTGCTATAATTGTTGGCATGTCTACTTGCGCAGCACTTTATATAACAATGAATTTATCTTACTTTGTTGTTTTATCGGTCCCTGAAGTACAATCTTCTAATGCTGTTGCTATGGCTAGTTTATTGAAAATATTTTTTTTCCAAAATAATTTTAGACTTTTGCCGAAAAAACTTTGGGAAGTCAATTTAAATATGCAATGCCCTTCCTTGTCTGTATTGTCCTTATTGGGTATAGTTTAATTACCTAATTAGACTTCTAGAAAATATTTCTGGTCGATTTCAATTTTTAATTTGTAAAGTTCTTTAAATGCAACTCTTTTTGGTGGAAGTCGCTATCTTTGGGCATCTGCACGTGAAAGGCATTTTCCCTCCTTTATTTCGTGCATAAATAGAGAACATGACAGTCCTAGAGCTGCTCTTTTTGTTCATGTTTGTTTGTTTACGTACTGTTAAAAGTATCAGAATTTATTTCTGATATAATTCTGATGCTTTTATAATCATTCTAATCAGAAATGATTCAGAATTAGTTTGATATTTAAAAATAGAAAGGAAATTCTGATTAACTTTGCTAAGTAAACAATAAGAAATATAAAATTCAGTAAAGCAGCTGGGCTATAGCTATTTCTCTCCTTATCTAGTGCAAAAGGTTATTCGACTGCTGACAACTTATTCGACTGCTGAGTAGACCGGACTGATGTTCAGTAGACCGGGCTGAGTAGACCGGACTGATCTTCAGTAGACCGGGCTGAGTAGACCGGACTGATCTTCAGTAGACCGGACTGATGTTTTATCCGTTACACCACGTCGCCTACTGCATAGCCTTAGGAAATAAATAGCTATATGCTTTGCAATTCATAGAAATATTATGATTTAGTATTCAAAATTTTACTTCAAAATTAAAAAAATATTTATCAGGTTCTGCTCTCTATGGCTTTTTCATTTCTTGGGAATTTAGAGGTGATTCGTTTAAAAACAATTATTCCAAAAGTAAATTCTTTAATTTAGGAACTAATTAATTATGTTGCCTTTACTCACTGGGTAGTTTTACTTAGTTAACTAATTAAATAAAAATCTCCAAAAAACCCCCCAGATAATTCGTTCAATTACAATGCTCAGCCTTTTATGTATCCGTTTTAATATTTGTAAACGTCCAGTTCACGAAAAAGCAATTCGTGTTCCTTTAATTTTGCCAATAATATTTTTGATTGTTTGCCTTTCTTTGGTGTCTATAACAATTATACAAAGTTTTAAATCCTCGATTGTTGGACTTTTAATTTTGGCTATTGGATTGGCTATTTATATTTTATTTATTTGGGAAAAGGCTTTTCAAAGATTTGGAGTTTATAGACGATTATCTAATTATATTAATCGTAAGGAAATTTATTTTTATTACATACTAGGTCCGTTAGCGACTTTAGCCATTCGGTAAACTTAAAGGAACAAAGTTACGATTATTTTATCCCCTTGCAAAGGCATTCCCTTAGATCCCAACAAGGATTTAGCTTCATAATTTTGTTAAGAATCATCAGATTTAGCCGATCATGGTATCATTCAACCAAGCTCGAATTATATATCAAACAAAAAAAGCTCAAAATGCTCAGGTAAACGGGAAAAAAAGGGGGGCGACTTCCCAACTATTACCGCCATTGCTCTAGATTTTTTTGAATTTTTGGCCTGTTCCCCTTCTAAAAATCACAAATTTATCACAAAATTTCAGATGTTACATGTGTTTTAACCCAATTTATATTTAATGGGAATATTGAATTAATTAATCATAAAGAGGAAGAAGATGATTTTGCTTCGTATGATGAAGAGAATTATGATAACATTATGGCAGAAAAAGCACAAAATGAATTAAATTATACTAATGAAATGTTAAATGGTGGTAGTAATAATAATAGTAGAAGAATAAAGAAAAATTCATCAAAAGTTTATCCTTCCAAAAATTAAATTTAAATAATTAAAAATCGAAATTATATACCTAAAGTATTATTTAATTGGTAAGGGAATTCTATTCTGAGTAAAATAATGAATAATTTTTTTCCCTTCTAATTTGATCTAATTTTAAACGGTTATATTCAATGTTTTAAGGCATACCTTATTTTCTCGATTAATTCCCCTCTCTCGAATAATCCCCCCTCTCGATTAATTCCCCATGCTAGAGTTGGGTTGAAAAAATAATTCCACGCCCCTAAATAGCCTACTGCACGTTCGAATGCCAAAACTCAAATACCTAATTCCCCTTCCTCGATTAATTCCCCGTGCCAAGGAAGGGTTAAAAAATAATTCCCCAGGGGAATTAATCGAGAAAATACGGTAACTCTTTTTATCTTAAAGTTAAACCTGTCATTCTTAGAATTTTAAAATTTAAATAAACTTAAATTCTTAATGAATTCCTTTATTCTTTCATAATAATTCCGGTGATTATTTTGTATTTTTTCCTATTGTATTTTTATTATTAAATTAGAATAATTTTAATTTCAAAATTACATCTGAAATAAATTTTTTAAGTTTAAAATTTTTCTGTCATAAAGACAGACTTGAATAATTAATCATAATAAATCCTCGTTAACATAAAAAAAATATTTGATAAATAAAATTTTTTCTTTTTATTTATATCCCGCTTCAATAATTTTTACACGTAACTTCCCTTAATTATATATTTAGTGCGCATTATGTGGGCCTATAAAATGGTATTTTTAGTAATAACATTAAAAATATTAACAAAATTAGCTGTATTTATTTTGTTTTTTTTTTGTTCGTCGAGGCAAAATAATTGTCAAAATAAAATGTTAAAAATATTCTTTATTTTTAATATTAAAAACTTTTTATTAATTAATTTTTTAATATTTGGTTTTAATAAATCTTCTGTGAAAGGAAATGATAATTCAAATTATCGAGTACATTATTTCAAAGCTCCAGGTATTTAAATTCAATTGTTAAAAAGTTTATTCCAAGTTTATCTTGTTTGTTAAGTAGGGCATTAATATCACTAAGGAAGTTTTCATGGATGGTGTTGTGCTTTTAGGATTTTTTTGTTTATTTGTTTGACCAAAACCGAACCGATAAATCCGAGAACTGAAAATTTTTTGACAACAAAAAGAGTTTAGCAAAAGTTTAGTCAACGGATCGGCCTTGCTCACACTAATGTATGTGCTCTGGCACTGAGCTTCAGGGGATCGTTTTTCCAAAACGTTTAACCCAGCCTAAGCGTTTTAAATGCATCTAGGTGAATCACCCTTTCAAAACCATCTGGTGAAAGGTCGTATTTAAATTCATATTCGTACTTAGTTCGACAAACATAATCACGATCCTATTTTATTTTATCGAGAACTATCTAGCATTAAGATTACTAATTTGTCAAGATATGATAAACTTGATAAAATTTAGATGGTAAATGGCTCTCTCTTCTTAATGTCCAAGTTGTCCTAGAAAAACATATGGAAAGGAAAGCACATTTTGAAGACGAGGATGCTGTTGATGTTGAACCAATCCCGAGAATAAAATCAAAAAATTATTCGAACATTAATTTAAATAAAAATGAGGATGAGGATTTTTTTGAAGATTATGATGACGATGATGATTGGACTATAGTGACTGTTCAACTTAAAAAGAAAAAAGGGAGAAAAAAGGGAAAGCCGAAAAAAACAATAGAAGAGTTGAGGAATACTAATAAAGAGAAGATGGAAGAGGAGGGGAAAATTGAGGATGTTTTTGGGAGAAAATTGTCAGAAATTGAAGAAAATGAAGTTAATAAAGAAGGAAAAATTAAAGTTACTGAAGGGAAGGAAACGAAAAAATATATTGAAGAAGAGAAAGTCAGGAAAAAAATTTTAAATAAAGGGAAGATGAAGGATGAAAGATATAAGGAGAAAATTAAAGATATCCCTGAATTGCCACTTCTAAAAAGTATTCTGCCTTGGATACCACACACATTGAGGAAACATAAACAAGGTTTGTATTTATTTTCGAAGACATATTAGAATATAAATTTAATTATTTACAGTTCAAAAAGCTAAGAAAGCCAAGATGCGTTTCACACTGGATAAAACTGTTTCTATAAGTTATAATTTTTTATAAATGTTTTAAATAAGAGATCAGAAAAATTATTATAAAAATTATTAATTGTAATCCTCAGAGATCTTATAACTTAAAATCTTTAAGAAAAGAAAACAAAAGAAATAAAGCCAACAACAACTACAACAACTAGTACAACAACAACTACCACAACCACTACAACCACAACTACAACAACGATGGAGATAATAAATGAAGAAGAGTTGGCTCTCAATTTACAGACTGATTCTCTTTATAGAAATGAATCCATCCTTAGGGATTTATTAAAAAATGAGGTTATTGGAGGTGGTAATATTACTAAATGTTAATAAGTTGATAGTTTGACATTCTTATTTTAATTTATATCGAACAACAGGGAATTAGTATTTTGCATTTAATACCAAGGAAATTATAGAAATTTTTTGAATTTATAGTTTGGCAAGAGACCTATATTTTTGTTCTATTATTTAATTATTCTACACCTTGCCATAACGTTAATTTCTATTTCTAATTAAAATATTTACATCAAGAAAAAGAAGATTTGGGCTCAGAAGCATTTCGTGATTTGGGTGGAAGCTTTATTACTCCTTTGCTTAAGGAGAAAAAATATGATAATAAAAGCATTCCACTAGTTTTTGCAGGTATTTAAAATATATTTGGATTTTTATTTGGATTTTTTAATTAAAAATATAGATGAGCCTTTGAAAGTTTTTGTTGCTTTGGAAGTTATTCATTTAGGAAATTTTGATAATTTTCAAATGGAATATGAATTGGATGTTTTTCTACATATGCAGTGGTATGATGTTAGGTTAGATTAGTAATGTTTTCTACTCCCATTATATTGGATGACAGAACTCATTAACACTCTAGTTAGTGATACATGAGTATAAGTGCTATTAAATGGACTAGAATCTATTGCTGCTCCGAGCCAGCTCTACTCAGAGCAAGACAGAAGCTAAGATTTTGATATGCCCGGAGTCGGAGCCACAAAACCGGAGCCACAAAGGTCAAATATCCAGCAATGAATTTCCTTGTCTAATAAACTTAACTTAATTAGCTACCAAACTAAGATACTTGATTTAATTAATTTTTAAAGATTGGCCAACAACTTTTCTAAACCTGTAAGAATTATGGAAAAGAAAATAATTGATAGAATATGGAAGCCAGATGCTTTATTTTTAAATTCAAAATTTTCTTATTTTCATGTTGTAACATTTCCAAATTTTTTGATGAGAATATACCCAAACGGGCATGTTACTTATACTGTCAGGTAATTTTATTAACTTTAATTGAAAAATAAAAATATTCTAGAGAAAATTTATAAACTTTTTATTTTAAGAGATTAAAAATATTTTTCTAAATCTTCTACTTTCATAAGAGTAACGCTTTTGCCTGATTGCCAAATGAATTTTTGTAATTTTCCACATGACAAACAACGTTGTGATTTATTAATAAGCTCAAGTATAAGCTTACAAAGTTTAAAAAGAAAATTTAAACATATTAAAGTTGCTCATCCAAAATCAGTGCTTGAATTTCGATGGGCATCAAAACAACCTATAATTTTTGCTAAGAGAGTGTTATTAACTGATTTGCGTATTCAAAGTATCGGAACAGAACAACAATGCCAAATTGATGAAAAATTAAGTTAATAATATTTTTTGATTTTTGGGCCAAAAATTAATTAACTGATAAATGAAGGGAGATTTAAAAATATAAAATACAAGAAACCCCTCTTAAAATGATTTTAATATTTAATTTAGAATTTTCTGTTTGTTTTTTAATTATTATTCAACACTAAAATATTTGGATTTATTATCCGAAAAGACCATAAAAATAATTTAATAAATTTAGTCCCATCGTCATGTTTATTGTTATTATTTCGACTCAAACGAGAAGGTGCACGTTATATTGCTGAGAAATATTTGCCCTCGGTTTTGGCTATGGTATTCTCTTGGGTGGCACCGTGAGCGAAATTTTATAAATTTAAAAATGAATATTATCAGCTAATGTTAAGATGATTAAATTATAAATTTTAAGATATGTTCCTTATAATTATGAAGAAGTTCGTATCATCACCCCTATCACTGTAAATAAATATTTTTTTAAAATTCTGATGAAAATTAATTAAAAGGTTCTTCTAACTCTTGTTCAAATGGAAAAAGGCAGCCAAGAGGCATTTATTTAATATTATTAAATATAATTTAATAATAAATATTTTGGGTATTAACTTCTTATCTGACTTCTTTGGATATTTGGTTTGTTGTAATAAAAGCCTTCACTGTACTTTCCCTAGTGGAGAGTCTTGCTGTTATGGCCTATATAAAACGGGGGCGGGCAATTGTGAGTTTTGTTTTTTATAATCTCAGAAATACATTTTAAATAATTTTTATTTGTAATTATTGGACTATGAATGATTGTCAAAGTTCACAAAAAGATAATGATGAGATAAAAATTCTATAAAAATTAATTTTTATAATGTTTTTCTAGGAGAAACAAGCCCAAAAAGCGGCAAATGAATATGAAAAAGACCTTTTACAATCTGAAACAAAAAGAATTGGGAGGCTTTATCATCGTTTAGATCACTTTTCAAGAGTTTTCTTTCCTGTTGCCTTTATATGTTTTGTTATTTTTTATGCTGGAATTATTGTTAAGAGGGATGAAAAACAATGTGTTGGAAATTAGAATTTAAATAGAAATTATTTTTTTGCGTATTTTTGTGAAAGAATATTTTGGTTAAATTTTTATTTTGAATTTTATACAAAGTTTTGTTGATAAAGACGTTTGATAAAAATTTTTTTCAGATATCCAAACTCTAAAGTTTGATTCCAATTTACATATAAAAAAATTTTTCAGTAACTGATAGCGTTATCCCTTATAATAATTTCACGAAGTTTTTCAATCCAGTATAGTAACTAGTGACCGGCGCCGGCCAAATCCGGGGTTTTCACGATCTCCGAGCCGTATCTCCTCTATTAGAATGCCACGCTCTATTTGAATGTCACCTTGGAAGGTGATTGAAAAATAGAATGCCACCCTTAAATTTAATGCCACCCCCTATTAGAATGCCAACCATTATTATCGCGAAATTTTACTAAATATGTATAAAATGATCTCCAATTCGAAGATGTTTCTATTGACTTTCTCTTATTTTCTTGCCATTTTAGATTATTATGCAATCCGAAATAGCAAATCCGAGATCTCTTAACGGAGTTTTAAAAATATCAAACGGTAGTTAAGAATTTTAGTTAAAATTTTTTACGTAATAGATATCAAGGATACAGGGGACCTGATATAAATCACAGATATCATGGATTGAAGGATTAAGATGAACTCAGGGATTAGAGGAATAGAGAGGGATATCGGTAATAAGAAGATAAGATTTGCGGATAAAAATTATTAGGAGAGGAATGATACTTAGATGTGGAGGAACCCATTTTATCTCTCAAAATCCTCTTCAACCTTTCGAATTTGTTGAGATTTTAAATAATTCTCAAGCTCCATTAAAATTTTTAAGCCCTTTAAATTCATCGATATCGCCACAACTTATCCTAATCACTTAAATACGTTTGAGTCATATATCAAAATAAAGCTTGAATCAAGCAGTATTTAATTTAATAAAGATAATGAATTTGGAAGGGTAAAATAGACAAAGTTATTGATTTTTAAAGATAAATTTAGAAAAATTTTTCATGAGTTGGAATCTTTTTTTCATTTGAACAGCTTAGGTAATATAAAAAATTCTTTTTTTAATTTAATTAATTTTTAGTAAAATAAAATTTAATTTTGGGATAATACATATTAAAAAATTTAAACGTGTAAATCTTTTTAAATAAATAAATATTAATTTATTTGAGAAATAAATTATCATTAAAATTAAAATGCTTAAAATAAATACTTTAATATTACATATTTTCTTTTATTTTTATTTATATTTTATTTATTTTTTCTATTGAATTAATTGGTTCGCATTGTGGTGTTTGTGTTGCTAATAAATTTTGTTGTGGAAATACGTAATATTTTTTATTTTTATTTTTAAATTAAAATAAATTTAAGATGCTGTTCAAAAAATAATTGGAATGAATGCTGTGGAACTAAGTTATTTTTTTAAATTATAAATTTTTTTTTAATTTTTAAGATGCTGTTTAAAAAATGGTTGCTGTGGCGATGAGTAAGTATTTTAAAAATAAAAAAAATTAAAATACTACATGGGGTTTTTTTACCTTTTCTATACATATTGCTACTTCGTTCCAAATGAAAAAATTTAAAAAAATTGATTTTAAACTTCAAAATTAAGTTGCTGTATTGGCGGAAAATGTTGTAGTTTAGACAATGGTGTACAAAAGTAATTTTTTTTAATAATTTAATTTTAAATTATTTTTAAATTAAAGATGTTGTAGAGATGGAACATTTTGCTGTTTTGGTAAAAGCGTTATAAAGTAAAAAATTTTTTTTAATAAAAAAATTTTTATATTTAGTTGTTGTAATCCAGATACAGATTATTGTAAAGATGGAATATGTCATAAATCCGGATAAATATAATTTGATATAATCGAGGGGAATATTTTAATAAAAATAATTTAAAAAATTAAATAAATATTTATTCACTTTAATTTCTTATTTTTTTAATTAAAATTTTTTATTAAATTATTCTTAAAATCTACAGAAAAATAAAAAAAATAATTTTATTAAAAAAAGTTTAAACAATTTTATTAATTGTTAAATTTTCTTAACTTATTAAATTAGATGTCTAAAGTGCGTTCCAAAAAACCTCGACACACTAAATTTTTCAGATAAATCGACTTCCGGTTGTCTATTTTTTATAATCTTTTTATATATTGATTCATCAGATTAAACTACACTATTCTACAAAAAATTAGAATAAACCGATAATTTTATCAAAAGTTATGATAAATTTTCGAAAAATCAAGCGTTCCAAATATCCTCAAACAGTTTGTAAAATTATCGATAATTACGGAAATAAGGTAGCTAAAGTTTAACAAAAATTTCCATGAACATAACTATCAATACTATATAAAATTAAAAAAACTAAGTCGAAAACTGATTCTTTCTTCGAGATCTCAAATCTCGAAAATCAACGGAAAATAGGGTTACAGTACTTTAAAAAATATTTTAGCCTATTTAAAGCAAATACTAAAAATTTTCTTTAGGGCTATATGAAAGCCCATAAAATTTGCTACAAGATACAAAAGGGCTCATCTTTCTAAAAAAATTATCCGTTGCGGCATTCAAGCTTAAATAACTACCAAGCAAAAAATAGCCTAAAAATGCACTATTATCGTTATGCGGCTATTCTAGCGTGAGCATTTACACGGATAAATTTTTTAGAAAATTTTGACATTTTGTATCTTATAGCAAATTTTATGGGCTTTCAGATAGGCCTAAAGAAAATTTTTAATATATGCTTAAAGGTCTTAAAATATTTTTTAAAGTACTGTAACCCTTATTTCCGTTGATTTTCGAGATTTGAGATCTCAATGAATAAAACAGTTTTCGATTTAGTTTTTTTCCTATTTTGCATCCATATTGATAGTTATGTTCATAGAAATTTTTGTTAAATTTTAGCTGCCTTCTTTCCATAATTTTCGGTATTTTTTCAAACTGTCTGAGGATATTTGGAACGCCTGATTTTTTGAAAATATATCACAACTTTTGATAAGATTATCGGTTTGCTACAATTTTTTTGTAAAATTAGGTTATTTTTGCTGCTGAATTAAGATATAAAATATTGTAAAAAAGTAAAAACGCGTAAGTCGATTTTCCGAAAAATTTGGGGGTGTCGAGGTTTTTTGGAACGGACTTTAAATATTTTTTTTCAACAGCCAAAATAAAATATTCTTTTAAATATTTGCGTTGGCATTTATTACCAATGGCATTATCAATTTAATTTTTACTAATATTAATATTAACTAATATTATTAAAAAAAATTGTTTTAAAAAATTAAAAAAATATATAAATGAATTTTAAAATAGCTTGGGGGAGATAAAAGAGAAGAATTTAAGTAAATTTAAATTTAAGCAAAATTTCTATATTAAATTTATAGAATAAAATTTTTTTTATAAGCTATCAAAATAAATACTTAACACAAAATTAAGTACATTTTCATTGTTTAATAATGCAATTGTACCTAATATTAATATATGTACATTGTCGCTATTTTTGTTTTTAGTTTATCCTTAAATTTTATCGCATATATGTATACCAGACCTATTTATTAACTAATTAATACTTAAAAGAATTTTATCATCTTTTCATTCAAGAATTTATTATGTTGCTTCCATTAATTTTATAGAAATATTTTTTCAATCTTTTTATTTTTAAATTAATGTGGACGCCCAGATTTAATTAAATTTCAAACAAAATTAAGCTTGTCTGGAATTTGAATTGAATTTGGAACAAATATTGAAATTCTTAATTTTATTTTCCACAAAATTTTTTATCTCTCAATATTTTAAAAAATTAATAAAGTTAAAATATACTCAATACTTTCAAAATAATTTGCACGGTTCATATCCGTTATCTTTTTGATTGATTTAGTGTTTCCAGAGAATAAAATGTATTGTCTTACTATGATAAAAAGCTATATAAAATTAAGAATTTTAACCAAAAATTAGTTTGTTTCAATAAATTTCTATAGATTAACAAAATGGTTGTTAAATTATTTTTGTTGATATTTCTTGTAAAAAGTACTATAAACTCAGACACAACAGAAAATTTGTTTATTAAAGAAATTAAAGGTACTAAATTTTTATAAAATTATTTTAATTCTTTAATTAACAAAGATGATAACTCAGAAAATAATTATTTGGTTTATAACCTCAAATCGAATAATTCTGACTTTCAACCAACTGAAGTTTTATCATTATTAAATTATAATGAGACTTATCAACAACTTTTATCAAAAATTACAAGTCGCTGTATTTTGAAAGAAGAATATAAAGAGTTATTTAAAGATAAATCTACCTTCATTTTTTCTTCAATATTGTTCCCTTTTCTTGTTGGCGGTACAATAAAAGAGATTGGGTTAAACGATAGTGTTTCACCGGAACCGAAATTTTGACCGGAACCGGAACCGGAACCGGATCCAATTTAAGTTCCGGTTCCCGGAACCGGAACCGGAACTTTTCTAAGTTCCGGCCCGGAACCGGAACCGGAACCGGAACTTTAAAAAAAATTTTTTTTGCTAGCAAATTTTAAAAAATTTGCATTTTGATTTGGGTTGTAGGTTTCGCCAAATTTTTCGGTTTACCGAAACCGAACCGTCTAACCGAATAGAAACTTGGTTAACCAAAACCGAGCCGAAAATTTGTCGTCGTTAAGTGATATCCAAATTAATCCATCAAAATCCTCCGATATAACATTCAACTTCTTTTTAAGCGCCGCAGGCGAAAAATTTTGAGAATCTGTGAGGACAAGAAGCCAAATTTCTTCCCTTTTCAGCGCCGCAGGCGAAATTTTTGAAAATTTATGAAGGCCATAAGCAAAAAAAATTACTATTTACATATAAGTCAAACTAAAAATTTTAAGAAATTTAGAGGGCCAAAAAACCACAATTACTCCATGTAAAAATAAAATAATTTTAAAAACAAAATTATAAACTTATAAAATAAGTTTTTAAAAAAAGAAAAACATGCAGATTAATTGTCCTATTCCTTGGAAGCGAACCATCATTAAATCATTCACGCCAAGGGTGAATTCTAACACCTTAACCACTCGGCCACCCGCTTACATTATATCAAATGACAGAAAATAAACATATTTCTTTCGATTTTTTTTAATACACAAGCATGAGTGTACGAGTAGTTTATTAATTTTTCTAAAAAAATCAATCTTTAGGGGTGTAAAAAAGTTCCGGTTTGGCCGGAACCGATTTGTAAACCGGAGCCGGAACCGGAACCGGAACCAATTTGAGTTCCGGTTCCCGGAACCGGAACCGGAACCAAAAAAACACCGGAACTTTCCGGAACCGGAACCGGAACCGGAACTTCCGGTGAAACTCTATTAAACGAGTTACGTAAAGGATTTCATTTGAAAACGCAAGAAGTAAATTATAAAGGGAATGAAGAATTTGAAGATGAAAACAGAAATGATACTTTTGGAGGATTAATTTATTTTCAAAATAGGCTAAAAGTTTTACCTATTTTTATGTTTACACAAATATTTTATCGAAAAGAGGATGTGCCAGCTACAATAAAATTTATCGATAAAAAATTCCCTGAAGTTCGAACATTATTTCAATTAAAATATCAAGAGAAGAATATTAACAATTTGACATTTAATAATAAAACTGTTGGAGCATTGTATTTGAATTAAATGGAGATGAGGGTGAAGATAATTAAAGCAGTTGATAATTCACATTTAGAATCACTAAAATTTTTTCATGGAGAAGAATCGAAGAATTGTTTTGGAATTAATCAGAATAATACAATGGAAGGGTTTGACTCGGATTTGTGGGACAAGAAATAGAAGAATATTTTATTCTATCTTTTACGGATAAATTAAATAACTTTGAATTTTCCTACTTTAGTTGGTGCAAAAATTCTATAACAATTTCTGTAAACATTTCCATAGACACTGAGAAAAAAGTAAAGAACAAGTCTGTAACTACTTTCTTCATCGAGATCTAGAATCGCAAAAATCAACGGGAAATGGGGGTACAGTACCTCAAAAAATATTTTAACGCCCAAGAGCTTTTATAAAAAAATTTCTTTTGAGCTTATTTAAAAGCCCATAAAATTTGCTATAAAATAGTCCTGGTATCATTTATTCTAAAAAATAGTTGTTTGACGCACATCGACTTTCACAAAAAATGGTCAAAAATCACCTAAAATACCCCAAAAATGATGACATAAAAGATTGCCCTACCCTTAGTTCCTTGAGCTTTTATTAGAAAAATAATAACTTGGACTATTTTGTAGCAAATTTTATGTGCTTTCAGATAAGCCTAAAAGAAAATTTTTGATTTAAGCTTTAGGGGGGGTTAAAATATTTTTTAAAGTACTGTACCCCAATTTCCCGTTGATTTTCGAGATTTGAGATCTCAATGAAAAAAGAAGGTACAGACTCCGTTCTTTTTATTTTCAACTCAATATCAATGAAAATGTCCACAGAGTAGCGATAATCTTTTTTTTTTGCAAACTATTATGAAATTATTTAATTTTATTTAATTTGTCCGTAAACATATGCACAAGAAATTAAGAGAATAAAATTTATTTGGGTAATTTTTTGTGAAAAACGAATATGTTTCAAATTCTTATTTCTTTTTTTCTACTTTTTTGGGGGATTTTTTGTCCTTTTTGGGGCTTTTCTGGGACACAAAAGGACCTCGGGTCCCAAGGGACCCAAAAAACTTAAAAAACTAAAGGACCCAAAAACCCAAAAAACAACTGATTATTTTTTTGCAAAATTAAAATTTTAAAAAATTATTAAAAAATTTAAAAATTGTCTGAGATTATTAATATGTAGTACTCATTCAAGTATAAATTAAATTAAAGATTAAAATTTAAAGATTAAAATTTAAAGATTAAAATATAATGAGGATTTTTAAAAATATTTTATCATTATTTTAAAATTTAATGCGTTAATCATGTTAACTAAGCAAAAATAATTGCAAAAAATTTATTTAAAAATTATCAAATTTTTTAATAGCTCTATTAAACTTTAAAATATTTCATTTTATTTATATAATTTAAATTAAAATTTTTTAAATGAATGAATATAAAAAAACAATTCAAATATTTGTATTTCTTAAAAATTATTTCCTTAAGTTTTGTAGCTAATTAATTAGTTTTTAAAATAAAGGGCAATGTTCTTTAATTTTTTACGATTATAAAATACTTAAATATTTAAATATTAATGTTCATTTATTTAAAAAATAATTTTACTATAAAAAAATTAAAAAAATGTCAAATCCAAGACAAGACCCTCTAGCTAGAGCTGTGTGGATAGTCAATACTTGTGTTGATCAAATCGGAACAGTTTTATTCACGTTGCTTATAATTACTACTATCAGACAAAAGTAAGAAAAAATATCATTTATTTATTTGTTTAAGTCAGAATTATTGAAAAAATATTATTTATTAATATTAAATAAAATTCTGTTAATAAACCGACAAAAGTTTTTAATATTTTAAAAATTTTAAATATTTTTTCCTGCTACAATATATCATGGTTTTGTGATATTTTGTAGCTATTTTAATTATTATCAAATGAGTCTAGAAATAGCTAAATCAGTTCATCCAATCATTAGTTATGCCTTTCCAAGTTAGGCAAGGTCGCTTCTTTTACCTTTATAGTTTTAATATTTTTTAAAAATTATTTTTTAAAATAAAGACGTTTACATTCACCATGTCAATTATTAATTGGACTTTATGGATTCGTTTCTTTACTCTCAAAAATTCAAATTTTATTACCCTTTTTTGTATTTATTTTGCCTGGACCTGGAACTATACCTCGCATTGTTTGTGCTTTTGTTCAATTAATCCCTATTGGTGGAGGTTTAAATGTTTTTACATTAATGTTTATTATTGGAATTGATAGAATGCTTGGAATATTTTTTCCTATTTGGTTCGGTTTTTATTAAAAATTAATTTAAAAAATTAAATTTTTAAGGTATTCAATGAAGAGTGTAAAGAATTATGTTAAAAAATTATATTTAATTTCATTAATATATCCACTAGTATTTGTTGCTTATGTTATTAGATCACTTATACAAGATCCTTTTCTGTATGATTTTATTTTTAAAATTAATTTACAAAATTTAATTTAAGTCAAGTTCAATGTTTTTCTCAAGATTTAATGGGTGTTGATGGTCGTAGTTTAATTGTAGGTGCACAACTTGTATTTAATTTGCTTACATTGGCATGCTATGTATTAATGTTTTTTAAATTAATTTATGATCAGAAGACTGGAAAAAGTAAATTTTGTTAATTTCTAAATAGATGAAGGGATGGGAATAAATATATCGAAAGGTATTAAGCTCATTCTAAGTTGTTCAATTTTTTAAAAGTTATAAAGCAAAAATAGAGCAAGTTTAGAATGTTTATTTAATTTATTCCATAGCTGAGACAAAGCAGTTTTTGAATATAACTTTTTTCCTGCCAAATAGAAATTTATGGTTTTTAACTATTTTATAAAAAATTTAATCCACTATCAAATGGTATGAACCTCATTATAGCAAGACAAATTTATTTTTGAGTTATTAATTTTAGAAGCAACTTAACTCTGTATAGAGTTGCACCTCTGCTTCCATATTTTTAAAAATAACGTTTTTTTAAAAACAATCAAAAATTTTGATTTTAATTTTTCTTATAGCTTATTTAAATCTATATTGAATTGTACCAAAAAATTCAAAAAAAAAATTTATGTATTAATGAGATATTAAGCAAAGACCTAATTTAATATTTAATTAATTTAGTGTGTTCAATTCGTAAATCAATTTATAAATCATTAGCTATAATTATGGGAATACAAATTGGTGGATATATGTTTTCATTATCTGCTTTAATATTTTAAATTTAATTTATTCAAATTTTACAAATACTCAATCACAAATTATTAAATGTTTAATTAATGTTGTTGCTTCATTAAGTTCATCAATTGAAGTACCTACTATTTTTGCTGTTAGGTAAAATTTTAATTAATTAATTTAAAAATTAATTAAATTAAAATATTAAAGTACTGAACATCGTTTAGCTTTTAAAGATGAATTTAGTTGGCTTATTAAACCTTCAAGTTCAAATGAAAATTCAAAAGTTTTTATTTTATCAAATAAAAATACAACAAAATCTATTCACTGTAAGGTGGACTCTAGACCCAAAGGCTAAAGAGCACTTTGCTTGACACTTCCGTTAATGTTATTTTCCCAGTAAACATATTTGTAATGTTTATAATATTTATCCGCCCATTATGTTCATTATATAACGATTTCTATTCTTCCCATTAGAGAGAGTTAGGCCTAACACTTATATTATTTCCATCATTAATGTAATATGTATTTCCTATGTGAATAAATGCGCTTGTAGAACTGAGCGGTAATATCATGCTTCGGCAAGCCTGAGGACTTGATCAACCCTCAGAGTTTGTCCGATTAAGGTGAAAGGTACCCCGGACTTAAGTCTTACTAAATACCCCAAATGGAGGAGGCCCTAGCCAGCACGCTCCAATTGGCGTGCTGTGTTTCTGGTAGCACCGGATGGTTCGCATTTTGCGACTTTCCATTGGCCTGGGCGGCCGGTAAGATTAAGAGCTGGGTAGAATGCGATAGGCTAACTCTCTGCGCGCATGCTTCGGCAAGTCAGAACCCTCCGGAGGTTAAAAATAAATTAGGAAAAGATAATCGACTAAAATAAAATTAAAATAAGGGCATAAGAAAATACTGGGCATTAAAGCGCTATATAAATCGATGGGCAAAATTAAGGGCTAAAAATGATTGGGCTATTTAATAAAGGGCTAATAATTATCTAATATAGATTAAATAGAAGTAATACCCATTATAAAAAGTTAATATTCAGAAAAATTTAGAAAGCCCAAATATTAAGAAAATAAATTATAAAGCCCAAATTTTTAGAAAATAAATAATAGAAAGCCCGGATAATAAAAAGCCCAATTAGAAAATGCCTAAATAAATAAATATGAGTAAGCCCGATAAATGAATAAAAAGCCCTATTAAAAAGAGAAGCGCTAGATAAAAAAATGTTTTCCTTCTCCCATTCCCTCTCCGACCTTTTCCCCATTCTTTGCGCATTGTTTTACTAAAAAAAAAGTAAATTGTTATAATTAAAATAGAAAAAGTTTTTAATTAATTATTCCTTCGGGAAGATCAAATACCATAGAACATAATTTAGTTACCGAAGTATAAAAAGTTTAGATTGTTCTATTTTTATATAAGAATTTATATACATATTTTTCCTTCGGGAAGACAAAATGAAAACAGTAATTACCTAAGTATAAAAATTCTTAATATGTCTTTGAAATCTTTAAAAGAAACGCAAGTCGATGGCGCACAACTACTATTTTTCTTGAAAACAAAAATTAATCATTTTTCTTCAAAAAACGCTTTCTCAGCTATTACACAAAGAAGTGCAAAAAAAAATTTTTTTCTTTCTTGCCTAGGCAATTCAGCATCCTTCAAACTTTGTTCTCTAGTTTTTCGCGTTCTCTTTCTTTTCTACTCTTCCTTTAAAAAATAGCTTGGGAAAATATTTTTTATTTACACTAAAAGAAAAGTGTATTGTGTCATTCTATTACTAATTCTTTCTAACTTATAGTATGTTTTATTGGAAATATAATTTTTTTCAATTAATACGATTTTGATTTTATTTATTAGATTCCATTACCTAGGTATTTCCGACTTTATACTTTTAAAATATTTTTATTAAATATTCAAGAATAAAAATTTAATTTGCAACAACCAAATATACGTCAAACAACAAATTCAATTTCTGCCAATTGAACAACAATACTCTGGCTTCGGCAAGACAGCAGCATTTTAGAAAGAGGCATTAAAAAAATTTGTTTTTGAAAGATCTTCACTTCTGTTATCTGAAAATCTTATACTCTGCTTTGGCAAGTCTGAATTTTGGGGGAGGTAGTTTAAATTTTTAAAAAAAAAGTTTATCAAACTTTCAAAAATAATATTTACAACACAAGCTAATTTTTAGAGATTTCAGTGATCTATGCTTCTGGTATCTATGCACTCTTACACGTTGCTTTGGAAAGAAAAATTTTGTGAATGGAGGTATTTAAAATTAAAAAGAAACTTTTTCAAGCTTTCCGAAAAATACTAAATGCTTAACTAATTCTTAGAAAATTTCAGGTATCTGTGCTTCTTATCTACTATGATATAATTTACATTGAACTGCGTAGCAAGCAACACTTACAAAGTACTACAACAAAATATATCACAAATTCAGCACATTTAAAGAAATCAACAAAAATTCTTATTTAATTCTGATCTGCCTAGGCAAGGAAATACTTATACGTCTTTTCTGAAGGTATTTAGAAATAATAGAATTAATATTTTCATGTAATAATATTCGAATTAGAAATTTTTTTAAAATTCAATTACTAATTTTTTGGGCAATTCTAAAATTTACAAAGAAATTTTTTTATATCTTGTACGATTAAGAATGACTAAATTTTTAGGAAAAGTTGATAAAGTTTTTATAGTTTATTTTTGATTTAAGTATATTTTTTAGATTAAATTCCGTATATTTTTAGTATATTTTTATATATTTTTTAGATTAATTCCTTTATTTTTCCCTAAGGATTTTTTCTAATAAGTAATTTTATTTTTTCCTTCGGGAAGACAAAATCTTAAAAATAGGTATTACTTAAGTAAGAAAATTCTCAAAAGGTCTTTAAAATTCTCAATACAAGCGCAAAAGTTAATTGCGCACAACAAATTACTGTCTATGTAGATAAATCTCATTCATTTTTCCTTCTTGAAGAAATTACTTCCCAGCTATTACACATTAATTACAAAAGAAAAATTTTAAATTGCCTAGGCAAGTCCGCACTTTTTCTTAAAATTCTATCAACTTTGTCCTCTCTTTTATCATCGCTTCTATTTTCTCTTCAAAGCTTTTATCTTAAAAACGCTTGGGAAATTTTTTTGTAAATTAAAAGAAAAACTTTAATTTGTCATCTCTTTTTATTCTTTGTAAATTAGAAGTTATTTTTAATAAATTATTATTTATCCAGAGAATACTGTTCCAGAGAATACTGTTTTACCTTTATTTATATTTTGAATTAATATTTGTATATTTATTATCAAGGCATAACAAATTTTACTTTTTCTTTTAAATATTATTTTAGTATTTTATTTAAATAATTTAAAAAGCTTAATTTTCTACAAAAAATATACAACAAACAACAAATTCAACATTTATTTTTTTTAGATAGCCCGCATATTCGGTACCTGTGCTTCTGACCTACATCGATCTATTTATTTTTAATTGTGCGCTTGTGGTATCTGTGCATTTTTATATTTTGCTTTGGCAAGCCGGAACTTTGGTAGAGGTAGTTAAAATTAAACAAAATTGTTTCAAATTTTCACAAATAATAATATATAACATAATCTAATTTTTTGAGACTTTCAGGCACCTACACATCTTCTACTCTGTATTGTTTGACAAATAGAACTTCAAAAAACAACCACATAAATAGTTACTGAGATACGCTCACGCTTCGGCAAGAACACATCTACAAACATAAATGTCTGCAAACAACACTATGAATCTTTATTTAAATATTTTGACTGAAATTGAATCAGTTGGTCCTCAACTACATAACTTTAATGGCGAAGATGCAACGGCTTTTGATGAATGGTCAACAAGGTTTAAGGATTAAGTAGAGGTATTTGGTACAAATTGGACTGAGGTTGAAAAATTAAATAGATTAAAACTTTACCTAGGTAAGACAGCAAGAAATATTTATGAAAACCTAGCACCTTCGGGGAAGAATACATTGCAAAATGCCTTAATTAGTATTAGAGCCAAACTAGATAGCCCGCATATTCGGGAACTAGCATATAGGAAATTAGCTTCCTGCTACCAGAGAAAAGGGGAATCTGTAAATGAGTTTATTAAAAGATTAATTCCGCTTGTAAATTCAACATCTTCTAATGTCACAAACGAGTTAAGAGTAGAAACACTATGCAGATGTCTGATTGAAAAAGTTAGACCAGAATTCCAAAGGTCTTTACAGTTAGTTGCACCCTTGATTGGAAGAAAATGCTTTGACAAGCTTGTAACGTATGTTCAAGAATTAGAAATAAATTTTAAGGTAGAAAGTAATGAAGAAAACATTCAATTAATAGAACCAAGCTGGATACAAGGAACTTCAAATGCTTCGGCAAGTCCACAACCGGGAAATGCATGCTCACATGAACCAATTGAAGGAATTAATTATTTAATTTGCGATTATTGTCATCAAACAGAACATGTGCAAGTTGATTGTAGAGAATTCTATCCTGAAAATCAAAACGAGGTCGAAGAATACAATGAAGATAATCGCATTGATAAGTTACAAAATGAGTTAGAAGTGATCAAAGAAATGGTTCATAATTTGTCTGAACAAATTCATGAGCTGAAAATTAATGGAAATTATTAATAAACTTCAAGGAATTCTTATTAATGTTCAAGCTTCGGCAATCCTCAACAACTTTTAAAATTGGTCTCTTATTTTTTTTAAATAAATTTGCAAAAAATAATGATGGTATGAAACAGTAATGAAAGTGATAAGTTTAAATTACAATCTTAATAAAAATTAATGAAGAATGCTAACATTTAATTTTCCAGGTGACAACATATCAATGAACACAAACACAATGTATGTTCCTAGAATATGGACTCTGCAGACCAGACAAAAATTGCAATAAGTTTCAACATCCCAAAGAACATGCGTAATCTTTTGTATTATTGGGTAAAGTTGTGGTTTAAGTTTATTAAAAATACACAAAATAAAATCTAATATTCCTTTTTCATGTCAATGCGGTCCATTTGGTGGCAAATCAAAATTGGTGGACTGGAGATTAGATGACTTTGGCCTAGGCATTACAGACGAATTTTTGTTTAAATTTTTTTTTAAACTTTTTATCACATTCTTTTATTCACAAGTACCCAATTTATTTAGTACCTGAGCTTTACCTACCGATATGACTTCCTAAAACCTAAATTATTAATTATTTAATCCCCAATAGGATATAAAAATTGCTTTGGTACTAGAAAATAATCTTTCAAAAACAAGATATTCATCTCACCAGAGGTAATATCTTTATTTTAATGGTTACTTTCTAATGCCTAGCAACTTTTATAACAAATTAAGATATGGATTTAATAACTGCTCTAAATATGTACAAGTACGATGGAAAAACTGGATAAAATCCTTATCTTTCATAATACTTATACATAAATTTTCAGCAAATATTATTCCTACCAACCCTCACATTTATCAAATTATCCCCCAAGACAATCACTAAATGTTATTTTTCTATATACTTAGGTATGCCCAAATGTTTTTTTATTATTGTGACATATTTTACTATTAATTAGCTAGTTCAAATGCCCTCAATACAAAGTGCTCTAAAGCTCAAATAGCAATATATTTTACTAAGTCAAATATTTCTAAAAGTTGCCAAAATCAAAAAAGGAAATTTAAAAGACTGGCTATCCACAAAATAAGCGCTATTTAAAAGCAGAGGATATGACTTAAAAACAAGACAAACTGGGGACTTCGGTAGAAACCAGTTTGTAAGAAAATATTTCAGAAAATTGAATTAAAAGACAGACTGGAGGCTTCGGCAAAAACCAATCTGTAAGATATATTTTAGGATCAAGGATGATCCTCTGGTAGAAAAGAGGTGATAAAAAGTGGGCCAATAATGTGGGCCAATAAAAAGTGGAAAGCCAGTCAGAAAATTTTAAATAAATGAAAATTTTGGCAATTTTGGAAATTTGGCAAAAGACAATTTAAGACCAGGGACGGTCTTCCCTGGGGTTGGAGGTGTAAGGTGGACTCTAGACCCAAAGGCTAAAGAGCACTTTGCTTGACACTTCCGTTAATGTTATTTTCCCAGTAAACATATTTGTAATGTTTATAATATTTATCCGCCCATTATGTTCATTATATAACGATTTCTATTCTTCCCATTAGAGAGAGTTAGGCCTAACACTTATATTATTTCCATCATTAATGTAATATGTATTTCCTATGTGAATAAATGCGCTTGTAGAACTGAGCGGTAATATCATGCTTCGGCAAGCCTGAGGACTTGATCAACCCTCAGAGTTTGTCCGATTAAGGTGAAAGGTACCCCGGACTTAAGTCTTACTAAATACCCCAAATGGAGAGGCCCTAGCCAGCACGCTCCAATTGGCGTGCTGTGTTTCTTCACCTTCAATCTACATTAACTAAAACAAAAACAAATGGAATTGTTTCTGTTGGATATTAATGAAAGTATTAAGTTTAAAATGAAGTTTAGTTTATTAATTATATTTACATATGCAAGAGAGATTTAAATAAATTTATTTTTAAATCAGAATTATATTTAAAAATCATTATAAAAATGATTAAAATTTTATTTAATTAATTTAAATTTTGATAAACTCAGAACTAATTCTGATAAATCATGACAGTTGTGCTGACAAATTTGAATAAATATTTTGATTTATTTTGATATATTCTCTAAGTTATATCTAATAAAGCTACTAGCCAAGCAAAGCAGGCTTTATCTCTTTGTATGTATAATTAGAAGTTTATAATAATACACTAATAATAGGGTATTCGACGATGATGATCTTATTGTTGTGTAATAAACAAAGGGTATTTTACCGAAATAATAAAAAGTAATAAAAGTTTAGCTCGGTGCTAAACTTTTAATAGTAAGCTCTTACGTTATAGAGCTCTTACGTTATTTATTTACTATTTAAATGATGAAACCTCTATTGTTTTAAAATAATTTTTTAAAGAATGAAGGTTTTGACAGAAACTAAAAATTTTCTTTTAACATGAGAATTTTAAATTAGTATTATTTCAATGTCTATTAAAGTTATTATAATTAACATTTAAATTTAATAAAAAAATTTTCCTTAAAAATTCCTCAAAAATTTCCACTTAATTGGCGCCCCATCATCCATCGCTTGTTTTGGCAAAAACGAGTAGTTGCTGCAACAGCTGCAGGTTGAGGGGGTGGGACAGGCCATTGCATGACAGAACGGCGACGATTTAGTAAAGGACTATTATTTGTACTGCTATCATCATCGTGTTTCGAAAGTATGTCCTAAGAAAATTATAAGTTTAATTAAATATTAATTTATCCTCTTCATCCCATTCCCCATTCAACCTCCATTGAAATGAGATGAGTGGGACATTATTCAATTACCTCTTCCTCCTCTGAATTAGAACTTTCCTCCTCCCCATCATCTTCATCCCTAGTCTGTCTTTGTTTAGTAGCCTCAATTTGTGTAATTCTTTCATCCACAAGTTGAACACCTTCAACTCCATTTAATTGAAATCTATTTGATAATGTTTGATGCAGAATTTCATCATTATTTTGGCTATTTTCTGGTTGAGGATTAGAAGATATAAAATTGTTTTCATCTGCTGAGGAGTCTTCCAGAAAATAATTATCTAAAAATATTTAGTCAAATTTAAGAAATCAGTAATTTTACAAGGGCTAAACAAAGTTCTTTACCAAAATAAAATTTTAACCATCAATATTCTCCTTAACAAAAACTTACTTCGAGTAATAGGCCCATAAATCACATCATTTATTGAATCAAATCCCCTCGAAATTACAGAATTTTTTCTTAATTCCTTCCTGCAACATTGCTCAACTGAATTATTTAGATTATTTGATTTAATCTCCTCTGAAGTAATAGCAGTGTTTGAGGTTGCAGAAGAACAAGAACCTTCTCCATATATTTGTAAGTCTTCATGATTGTTGTAATGAATGTCGGAAGGTTTTCTCTGGGAAAGCTTAAAATAATTATTTTAACAAATATTTCTTATTATTTATTACTAATTGTTCTCTTTGTCCCAAATTTACACCTTCGTTAGGGCTATTTTGGTTATAAGATTTTTGTTGAATTGAGGAGGCGACAGTTGATATTTGTTCTTTATTTGATATAGTATTGGTCAAAGCTTGCATTGAACTTGATTTTCGAACAACTTTTGAAGGTTGGGTTTGTGGTAAAACTTCTATGGGTTGTTGATTGTTTCTTAATGAAGGTTGGCATTGTTGTAATTCACACATACGGCGTTCTAATAAAAGAGCTACAGAAGTGTGCTTAGCTGAGCGAGCATCGTCTAATGGGGTTCTATTCCACCTATAATTGTTAAATTCTCCACAAATTTCAGTGAGAAAATTTTAAACCTATCCTTCGGATCAGGCTTAACCTTCCCAATTTCCAAAAGAAAAAGAGCAACATCAAAATGCCCTTCAGAAGCAGCTAAATGAAGAGCTGTTCTCTTATCATAATCAGCCATTTCCAAATCCACTTTTTGCATATACATACTTAAAAAGATTGAGAAATCACATAAACATTTATTTGCTAGTTACCGGCGGATTGTGTTTAAATCAGCAGCCTTTGCAGCAAATAAGAGTGAAACAACTGCAGCCTTTTCGCGCTCACCAACTCGCGCACGTGGATCAAACTTGGGATATTCGCTATGAACGAGGGAATCATAGTTGTGGAAATTGAATCCTTGAATTAGAATAAATTGTAAAAAATATTTAAATAATTATTTTAATTTAATATAATTAGTTTATTATTATAATTAGACGTCAGCTTAATTTTTCAATATTTAGCGAAAAATCATAATGTTCCTTATTAAAATTATTTTGTTTTCAACGTTTTTCGAGTTAAATCGTTTCATACGTTGTATAAGACGTTTGCAGAATTCTACTCCTCTTACAGAATTGCCCATTTTATCCAAAGCTGGTGACCACAAAGCAATTCCCATTATGTTTGGAACCACTACTATCATAACGCCAGAAACGCCGGATTTAGCAGGCAATCCTACGTGAAAAGCAAATTGGCCAGAATAATCATACATTCTAATATTTATTTTAATTTTTATTTTGAATTTACAAGGAAATTAATCATTAACCCGCACGAGTTCATCAAAGAAAGAACATCGCGGCATGGTCTGGAGCCTATACAACGTTCTCCTGTGAGTGGACAAACACCTGAAACGGAAATTTGAGTTCAATTTTAAAATTATTATCGTGGATTTTATTTTATCTTTGTCAAACTCAGATTCTCCTTAGATAATAAAATTTATCCAATTTAATACCTCCATTTGCCAAGGTTGAGGCCATAACCTATAAAATCATTTAAATTTTTATTTTCCTTCTTTAAAATTCTCACAGCCATTCCTTCACATGTAACTTCCAAAGAACAGAGTTGGAAATAAAAGTCTAAAGCTTCTTTAAGATTTCCAGTTCCTGGTGGAAAACATCCATTCTCCTTCATAAAATAAGCGAGAGCATAATTCCTATCAGCGGTATTTGTTTCTGAGAGGAATACTGCATTATTGAAACCAACATATTCTCCTCCAGAAATTTTTCTATATTCATTTATCATCTTTAAAAAATATTTTTAAAATATTTTTTAATAATATTTATATTTTGGAATTTATTACTAGGCTAGAAACTGAAAGTTCGAGACTTGAATGCTTAATACCGAATTTTAAATGTTTTTGTGGTTTAGGGATCGAGAAAAATATTTTACAACATCTCCACATCAATAAAGAAAAATTTTTTTAACTCACATGTTCAAAACGGTCGGCCATATCCAACTTGTTTTGAATCAGACTAGTCACAATTATGGCACCACTATTTACCATTGGATTGTGTGGTTTATCTTAAATAATTTTTAAAGAATTAAAAAAATTAATTCTCCAAGTTTACTATTCGAGTCAAGACAAATTTCATTAAATAAACGTCCCGAAGGTTCTTGTCCAACATATTTATGTACATATTCAGCACCCATTTCTGATGCAGCTAATAGATTTTTTTAATTATTATTATTAAAATTTTCATTTCTACCAATTCCATAATTAAATGCTTTTGATACACTTTGAACACAGAAAGGAATGTTGCTATTTCCAAAAGAATGCCTTTGACCATCAACTGTACATATAGCAACACCCCAATTGTCAGGCGAAACTCGAGCAAGTTGGGGAATATAATTAGCTACTTTCCCTTCAGTTATTGGCTTACACTTAAAAATTATTACTTTTAAATTAAAAAATATTCAAAAACTATACCTCTTCGTAAATTTCTTTTATAATTTTTGTAAAATGTGCCCAAGCTGGGACAATTAAATCCCCCTGAATTGTCTGCACGATTAAAGACACTAAAACAATAATTAATTATTTTTAGAATTAAAAATTTATTGTAGGGCGAGATGAAGATAAACAGACTCTAAATCAAGATTTGGATTCAGAATTTTGATTATATTTTGGCTGTCTTAATGTCAATTAAGTTCTTAGGCCATTTTCTCAGCTGGAAGGTTTTTGCCCAGAATTCCCAATCCCACCTTACTCCTTATTAACATTTAAAAATACATAAATATCCTAATATATCCTAATAGTAGCCTTGGTTTAATCTCTCAATAGGTTCGATTCTAATAGGGAAAGTCTTTTATTGAGTATTGGCTCTATTAGAATATTTACGGTATATATAATTTACTCGATTCGCTAATCACTCGTTTAAAATCATTTTTGCTAAGCTTCCAATGTTTTGGGTCTCTTGCTTCATTACTTTTCTCTTCTTTTTCATTCTCAATTTCACTTATTTTCCTCATCATTGGAGCAAATCTTGGATCATTTTTCTGAAGTCCATGATTTTTCAATACCTTTATAATAATTTTTAAAATATTTTTTAATTCCAAACAATTATTAATTTCCCAATATAAGCATCTGATTTATTTGGAACTCTAAATAGATTATGAATAAGATCTTCAGGTGATTGTTCATCATCAGCAAATAAATTTCCCAAGCCTTGCTTAGTTTTTTGTAGAGCAGTTGTAAACGATAACTTGCGGTGATGTTCAGTTAGAGGTGAATATTGTTCTACTGAAATAGGATAAAATGATTGAGTGTAACCACAATGATAAAAATTGATTTTATGTTATGTTGGGGCGATGACTGTTTTCTTTCCTAGAGATTTGAGCTCGGGCGTAAGTTGGGGCTTAAATGTGTCTTCTCTTCCTTGGGATAATCTTTTTATAAACTTACAGGTATGAAAAGAAATTCGTCTTGGAAAGCTTCTATTTCCATTAATTTGCTGAGACACCGTAGAAATTGAAGAATTACTTCCACTTATACTGCAACGACTAGGGCAGCGACAAGAATTAAATTCGAATGACGAATTCATTTTATTTGGAATTTTTTTTAATCTAATTAAAAATAAAATTTAATTAATTTAAAAGTTCAAAGTCCTTTTGAAATTAATTATTAAATTATTAGAGTTAATTAATCATTTAAAATTTATTTTGGATTTTTTCAAATATTTATTTTAAATTAACTAAAACAAATTTTTATTTAATTAAAAAATAAAATTTTCTTTTTAACTTTTTGCAATAAATTTTTTTATCAATTCAAATAAAAACCATTTTATTTTCTTATTTAACTTGAAACCAGGGTTTGATCTCAAGTTTATTACATAAATAAAAAAAGGTAATAAAAATATTTTTTGTTTTAATTATTGTTAAGATTTTAAGATTTTAAAATCTAATAAATAAAATAAATATTAAAATAAAAGAAATTTAGAAAATAAAGAATATGTATGAGGATTCCTCGTATTTAAAAATTTCTGGTCCTAAAAATTTATAAGTAAACATAATAGTTTAAAAATATTCTAATTTAAACGGATCATAAAAAGTTCACAAAATAATGAGAAGGAGCTTTAATGAAAACGATATTAAAGGGTGATAAATCGAATTTAATAAATGTGATGCTCAAATTTTAGATAACAAGTATAGTACATACATAAATCCGAACAAGATGAGATTCTGTCAAAAATCCTTGCTATCAGATTTTCATGGAAAGATCTCGAATCTGTCTAAAAGTTTTGCCTTAAAATCAAATTTGCTTTTTAATCAGTTATTAAAAAGGACTATTTTCCGTTGTGAGAGATTACAAATTGAGTTTTTAAATTAATTTAGTGATTTTGAGCATTAATAAAAAAAATAAAATGAAACCCAAAATTTAACAAAATGGTATTCCCCAAACTAAAAATTTTTATTATCAACAAAAGGTATTCCCTTTTAAATATTTTCCCTTTATTTTCAGTTATTTTTATAGTCTTTTTAAGGTTTGTTTATATTAAAATATAAATTAATGAACAGAGGAGTTTTACGAGTTTTTTTTTAAATTTTACCCCCATTTTTCGTTAATAAACGTTCCGCTCATTTTTTTCTTTTTCCTTTCTTTCTTCTATTATTTTCACGTCATGTTATTAATCAAGAATCTTTCTTTCCTTTATCATTTTTTATTTCCATTCAAATTGACCGCGCTGACCAATGATCACATTACGTGTTAAATAATGAACTTTAATTAATTAATTTTTAAATTATCATAATACTTTTTATTTATTTATTTTTTTTTGTAAAAATATTACATCCTCTTACTATACAAATCAGTAATACGTATTAGGATGGTCCATAAATCGTCCATTTTTATGCTAAAAATTTAAACACTCATGACTCGAGGAATTGAAAGATTTTTCCTCAAAGTAAACACCATTATTTACATATTATAAATTTACTCTATCTTTCTGCCAAAAGGTTCAATTCCACTGTGATATCATTTCTTTTTTTGATCAAATGAATTCACGACAGTCGTTCTCGGTCTCCTCCAATTGCATGAAGCTGGATGTGGAAAAAGTCAATTTATTTCAATTCTTGAATTCTAAGATATCATAAAAACAACGAAATTATAGACCACCATCCTTTTGTTATAATATTTACGATTGCGTCAGTTTACAGCATTACCATTATAAATTTTTATAAACCCTTTTATGCGAACAATTCAAAAATACATTTAAATTGTTTGGATTTTTTTTATAAAATTATGATTTTTTAAATAAAAACCGTTTTAAGTAAATATGCATTTAAAATTACAAAAAACTATTTATTATTTAAATTATTTTAAAAATCTTTTACTCAACAAATATTTTTAATTTTGAAATTAAACAAAAAATAAATTCTTGATAAATTATTTTTGACAATTTTAAACAGAAACAAACACTAATTTAATTAAAATATTTATTTAAGGAATATTTTGAAACTTTCAAAATTTTCAGAAAAAATTCTTTTTATTATTTTTTTTCTTTAAATTTAAAATGACCAGAACTCGTGATTTTTTTGTAATTTTAAATTTCATAAGGAATTCCCCAAAATTTCATTAAATTTATTTTACGGTGTGTTCTCGTGATTCTTATTCTTTTATTGTTTTTTTTTATTTACAAAAATTTTTTTATTTATAATAATTAGCACGAGGCATCTTTAACTTTAATTTGAAAGTTTTCTCTTATGAAACAGAATTTATTTTAATTTCTTTCTTTAGTTTACAAAATATACTCAGAGATTAGGGTTGCCAGCTCGACCCGAAACTCGAAAAATCGAGCGAGCCGAGGCTTTTCAGCTCGAAAAACTCGAAAACGAATTAAGAAAACCAAGCTCGAAAAATATGCACCGAACGTCGGCTCGAACCGAAATCAGCAACCTCATCGGAGATACATATATAATTTGACTATATTTAAGTCAGAGCTTGTAGAGAATCTTCACTAGCTAAAATAAATCCCTAAGAATTACGAATTACCCTACACTTCCAATAATACTTATAATTTTCTAAAGATTATAAAATGAAACTAAAAATATTTTCAGTTTATTAATATAATAATTCTACAAAAATATATTTTACAATAATAATTTTTATATTTTTATTATTTAATGTAAATTATTTCTCTTCGATGCAGCATTTTGTGCTGCCAATTGTCCAGCACCACCCCCACCTCCTTTACTAACAAATGAAGCTACAACTGTCCACAACCGAAAACGTCCTCTTTTTAACAAAAATGATTTTAATCCAAGTGCTAATAATGCTTGTTCTCGTAAAAGTTTGCTAAAAGCAAAGCGAAGTATTGGAGGGGCAATTGACTGGATACAAAAACTAAAAACAAAAAGGAAAAATTAATTTGACTTTAAAAATTTCTAAAAAATTTAGTAATTTAAAAGAAATAATTATTTACATTAACATCACAGAAAATCCAGCCCATTTATCAGAGCCAATTCCACCACGTATTACAATTAATTGTGCTGAATAATTTATTTATTATTTGGTTTAAAGGATTAAATTTTCAGTTAGGACTGTAAATTCTTAAATCCGGGATTAATGTCTTTTTCTTTTGAATGTTTACGCATCCAATGAACTTTTATGCGTCCAATCTACGTTAATAGGTACCCTGTTCTACGTATTAGAACCTATGATCTGGTATTGCACGGGTGTACGGTCACTATAGATTTTACGGTACTAAATTCAGCGTACTTAGCGCCAGCATTGGCTTTGATCCCCTAATTATTAAACTCCTTCATTTACTCTCAAAATAAATTTACTTACCAACAACAAAAATCAAAGAATTAATGCAGCAAGGAAGTACCAACTTTATTTCCAATGATTGACTGCTAAAATTTATTTTTCCAAAACTTTTTGTTGTAGATATAGCGACACCCTCATTATTATTTTTTCTAACAATACTTATTGTTCGAAATATTGTTGTTGTTTTTTCGATAGGGATTGGACCTTTATTGTTATTTAATTTTGGTGAGGAATTTGAAGAATTTTGAGGACTTGAATTTTCTAATTGTTCTTCTTCTTTTTGTTCTATTCCATTAACAAGAACTACTTCTCTAACCCTTTGACTTATATTAATTCGTTCATTCCCGCTAGTTGAAGATTTACCAAAAACAGCTGCCATAAATTGGAAACGAAGCTATAAAGGGAAGAATTATTAAAAATTTAAATACCGTATTAACTGTATTAGTGTCTCATGGGGTTAGTTTGTCCCATGGTTATTAGTGTCCCATTTAAAAGATTTATTTTTCAACCGTCCTCCAAACGGAGACTTTATTAAGAAGGGGCTCTAATACAGAGGGGAGCTGCATTTTTCAATCTATTTTTTAAATTAGACAATATGTTTTCAAATTAATAGACTGACACGATTTTTCAAATTAATTAAAATTTTGTCAAAAAAAAAGATTAAACATTTATGTCGCATGAAACATATAACATTAGGTTTTGATTTATTTATCAAGATCAAATCAATCCTTATTAGAAATATTTTTCTTTGGTGTTTTATTCTGTATAATTACGTTAAATATGAGCTTTTGTTAACTTGAATCTCTTACAATTTTCCCGTTCCGGGCCGGAAAATAGGAAAAAATTTTTTATTTTGTCAGTTTTTGGTGTGAGTGGGTTGAGATTATGGCGAGGATAATTTTGTTAATTGATGAAATTTTGTAAGAATTTTATATTTCTCTCTAGTTTTTAAATTTTTACATTTCTTTTGCAAAAGATAGTAGCTGCAGTTGAAATATAAATTAGTAGGTAAGCAGCTACAAATCCCAAATTTATGCTTAAATAAACTGTTCGAGTTCCACTTTCTGCATAAGCAACCCAATCGCAAGTCATTCCATAAACATCTGCTTGATACCAAAGCACAACAAACCTTGGAAATTAAATTTCTAAAAAAGATTGAATATTAAAGTCACCAAGGTGCACTATTCATTATCCAACTTTGAAGGGTTGCTACTCCCACAGCACCCCCACAAATTAACCAACACGTTGATTGACGACTTAATCGTCGAAAATGTAAAGGAAAGACTACACATGCAAAACGAGTTACTGCAATAACAACGTTCATGTAACACATACTAAACCAACAAGCATCGGCCCAGGCATGAAGATAATGACTCCATTCAGTTAGAAACCCTGGTTGCTTACTGAAGATTATAAAATTAATTTATTAGACTATTACTAGTTACTAGATGGCTAATTTATCACCAACGGCTTAATTGTTCCAAATTAAAATGGAACACGTAAGCCTGGAGTCGGGATAATTGGGCGGACAACGAGAATTCGTTTCCGAGAGCTTCAGTAAAAAATTTTTTCATACGATTAGACGCCTACGCTAAATAAAATAAGATGTTTACTATGTACGAGTATGATACCAAAAATTAGCTACAAATTCAAAATTTTAAAACACTACTAAGTAGATAAAGAAGACTAAGCTTGAGAAGATTTGAGAGGGGCGGGTCTACACTTTTTGTCCAATAAACATTTTAACTCTTTATTATGTACATAGAATAATTTGTAATTTTACCTTAAAATAATCCAACCGGGGAATATTCCAAAAATTAAAAGTAAGCACAAATCAAAAACAGAAAGAACAAGAAAAAATCTAAATCCAATAACTTTTTTCAAAGTTTTAAACATTGTAAGCATTTCAACAGCATGTAAAGCCATCCCTAAGAAAGAAATGATTATTAACGTCCCTCCAGCGATTATATCATCAGTTATTTGTTGTTTCTGATTTGCTGAATCGAAGGATTTTAATTTTAATTGTTCAATGCCTGTTGTGTTTATTGGGATTGAGGGATTCATTTGAAAGATGGAATAAACCATTTTTAGATTTTTATTTTAATTAATTAATTTCTGAAAAGAATTTTATTTAGAATAAATTTATGTACATTTAGAATTAAAATAATTATAAATATTTATCAAAAAAATTAATTTAAAATAAAATATTAATACGACAGAAATAATTATTCGTATATACAAAATCTCAAATACACGAATACACCTGGTCAAGCAAAAATTTTATTTGATTTAACGAGAATTTAAAATAAATTCAAACAAGGCAATAACTCATAAAGAGACTACAAATACATATGTTACAATATTTACAAAAATTAAAAACTTTTTTAAAAATATTTAAGGAAATTCTAGTTAGTTATTTAAAATATTGTAAAGGTACTATCGTAAAGGTACTAAAAATTGTAAAAGTAAAATAAAATTATTTAATAAAAAATAATTTTAAATTTTTATTGTAATAAGTACTTAAATGGGAAATGTAAATTTTATTAAAGTAAAAAACAAGCAATAAAATTTTTTATTAAAATTAATCTAATTTAATTTTATAGTTCCTTTTTACCTTGTAAATGTTTAATTGAAATTTACAAAATAATTGGGTATAATTTAATTTATTAAAATTATTTTTCTAAAAATAAAAGTAAACAGGAGTTGCTAATTGCCGAAAAACAGAGCTAGAAAAACAGAGCTAGGCCCTCACAGAAAAATTCACATACCGTATTTCCTAAAAAGCCCCATGCTAAATAAGAGCCTTAAGTTAAAATAGAGCCCCACTTTAGAAGATAGTTGCTTTGTTTTAGGAAATACGGTAAGTAATACATAATCGCTCTTAGTAAGGTGCACGATTACGAGGTACGAGGCCAAAAACAAGGGCAGTACGAGTCGTAATTTCTTTCAAAATCAAAATTTATAAATATGTACAGGTAATAAAATTGTCTAGATGAAAGAATGTGACAAAATTAAAATTTTGAATAATTTTACTTTCCAACAGGAAATTTATAAGAATTAAATACAATTTAAAAGAAAAATATAGTTTTCTAATTTAGCGTGTATTAATTAAATAAATAATTAATTTTTACTTTTTTGGGACAATTTTTAAGAACAATTCGTAAAAATTTTAATACAAAGAAAATACAATAATTTTCGTTTAATTTAAGTTTATAGAAAATATTTTTTTGTATTTTTATTGTTAAAAAAATTTATTTCCGTATAGTCTAAATAAAAATAAATTTGTATTAAATAAAAAATTATTTTAAGAAAATTAAATTTTAGTACGTGAGAAGAATAAAAAAAAAATATTTTTAATTTTTTAAATAAAAAATATTTTTTAATTATTATTTAAGAATAATTTAGGTATTTATAACAAAGGATTGAAACAGGATTCAGTCTCCTTTTGTATGAAAAAAGTGAAACTGAGCTAAATCTGACGTAAATCAAAGTCAATGGTGAAACAAAAAAAGGCAAAGCTAGCCAAAAATAATTAAATTAATTTTTATTTTCAAAAGCATTTAGTTAAAGAATAATAAATTGGTATATATTTATTTTTAATTTAATAAAACTTTTGGAGAAATTAAATAATAAATGAGGAAAAAACAGATTTTATTAGAAATAAATTCCAAAAATAAATACAAAAATTGTAAAAACAAATTAAATATTTACTTAAAAATTATTTTTCTTACATCTGTCATTTACCTTAAAATATTAATAATAAACAGAAAATAAATAAAAATTTATTAATAAAAAATAATAAGACATTTTGGATTAAATTGCCATAAATTGCTTTAATAAAATTAAAATAAAGCAGGTGAACTTGCACTTTTCTCGTTAGAGTGTAATTTTTAATGAGGAAATTGCTTAATAAAAAATTGGAATTTTGAGAGAAAAATTTGAAAAAAATTTTTAAATTTTTTAAGAAAAATTAATTATTTATTTAAAACAAGGAAGTTAATCATAGCAATAATTTTTTAAAATTTTATTTAATAAATTTCATTTTAAATTGCCACAAATTTTATTAGCTTATTTTTTAAAAAAACTAATAAAATTTGAAGCAACAATTATTATTAAATTATAAATGTACTTTTTGCTATAAACTTTTTAGTTGGAAAAATAAAAAATTAATTGATGGCAGAATAAAGGAATTAAAAACTTTTAAAAAATTAGGAGGAAGCGAGGTATTGAAAAAATGTCAGTAAAACTCTTTTTAAAATATGTTATGACTTCCGTTATTTAAAACTAAGTTTTAATTTTTTTATTTGTCCAAAATAATCTCTGCTTATATTTAGATAATAATTTAGCTTTTTATTTTTTCTAACAGTTTTTAAATACAGTAAATACCCTAATATGTAGAAGTCCAAGCCTTATTAGAGGCCGACTCTGTGAAATTCATTAAAAATAAACGCCCAGGGCTTCAACATCTACTGTATTTAAAAATATAAAACATCTAATAATATTTAAAAAGAATAAAAATAAATACAAAATTAGAAAAAACAGGTGTAAAGTGTAGAATCAGATGTTTAATGAAATAAAAATTGAAAACAAAATAAATTATTCCCTATTTGTAATATTTTTGGCATTTGTATTTCTGCTTATTTTAAATTAAATAATGTTATTACATAATAACAAAAATAAATAACCATAATTATAATTATATATGTATATTAAGTGACATTAAAAACCAAATAAAAATAAAATTATAACTTTCATTGGGGACATTAATTTAATGACTAAGAAAAGATTATCTATTACTAGAAAAAAATAAAAGACTATAATCAAAAAACCCAAAAAGTTTTTTCAAGGTAAATTTAAAGGGCTATATTGGTAGTTCAGACATGCTACAGAAATCGTTTGGATTGAGCTGAGATTTAATCTAAGCTTATCTCTATATCAGCTAATATTATATGTATATTCATATTTTCCAAGTAATAAGACTTATTTAAAGCATTAATAAATATCAAAAAAATTTATTTTATTTATTATTTTTGTGTAATTTTTCACAAGAAAATAATTAATTTATTTATTTAGAATTGTTTTTTTAAAAATTTAATTATTTTATGTATATTATAGATATATAAAATTATTAATAATTTAATATTAGAAAAACAAATTAACAGTTATATATTAAAATATTTGGAAATATATATGCAGATAATAATCATTAAAATAATAAAATAATGTTTTATGGTCACTGCAATGGAATACGTGGACTTTGGGACCGAAGTGAGACTACATATGATTGGGAATGTCGAGTAATCGAGATTCAACTCAGGCTAAAATACAACCCTCGGTATTGAATTGAGTCAACGTATGAATGTGAAAAGTGATCCGTAAAATGTATTAGCGGACTTCCACATTTAAAATAATTATAAAAATAAAGATAAAACAATGATAATTTATTTTCCATTTTTTTGAATTAATTAGCAGAGCTCTGGCGTAATTTTAATTAATTTAATTGTTTGTGAAATTAAAACAAAGGAAGGAAATAAATTCAGGCTAAAATTTATAAATAAACAAGTATTTAGATGCACTAATTTGCATTTAAAATTAAAATCCAAAAAATCGAAGGAATGCAAAACCAATTAATTATTTAATTGTTTTTGAATAAAAATATTCATTAGCTAAGAAAATAAATAGAAGTTTTGTTTGCTAAAATAAAGTAAAAGGGAAGAAAATTAAAAAAATAAAGGATAAGAAATTTTATAAAATTAATGCTTAAAGTTTATAGAAGAATAAGTAAACTTTAAAATTCAAGAATTAATCTGGGTGAAAAAATTTTTTGTTCTATTAATTTTTAATTTTTTTAAGTTGATTAATTCCTTATAGATTAAAAACCTCAAAAAAATTAAAAGAAAATTGAATACAGTCAAACCATACCCCTTCAAATGCCAGCTAAATTCAGTCTTGAGAGGATATACGAGAAAGATTTATTTTTAAATTAAGTAAAATGAGTAGGTAAATCATTTAAAAGATCAAAGAGTAAATTTATTCTTTTACTTAAATTTTTCGGTTAACTTGAAAAAAACGACACTTTTAACTTCCGTCACATCCGCATTGTTCTCTTTTTTCTACATTTTTTATAGATAAAGACTAAATAAAAAATGTGTGTTTGTGTGCCAAATTCCCCTGAGAGACAAAAATAAATTTATAAAAAAAAGTTTGAACGAAAGAATATATCTTCTTCTTCTTCCTTTTTGGCTTTACATACAAATAGCTTTTTCCTTTACTAATGGCATGAGAATACCGAAGAGCCAGGTCAAGTGGAAATGGCAGTTAAAAAAAGAAAATAAGAAAAAATTTTTGAAAAAATATCATGAAATATAACTTTTAAAAAATAATCTACAAAATAAAAATATCGGCTCTGGTTTAGTTAATGCGTCCAATGAAAAATTATGAGTCAGGGGATCAAGAAGATTTCTACCGATATCACGACATTCCTCCAAATATTCTGATATCCCTTAATCCATCGATATCCCCCTTTAATCCCTCAAATCAAAAGACATCACCGTTAATCCCGCCAAATCCATTACTCTCCCCCCCCCCCCTAATACATATTCCTCAACCGATATACTAGGTATTAATTGAGAAAACGTCTTAGTAATTTCATAAAAAAATATTTTTGAAATTCAGTTAAAATAAAATTAAAAATAGGTAAAACAAAGAAAAAAACACCACAAAGCGCGGACAAAGTTAGCAAGTAGGTGAATAAAAAAAGAAGATAAAAAAGAATAAATAAAAAAATTGTTTGGAGGTAATTCAATTCTCTTCCCACAAGTCGCAAAAAGAATTTAAAATGAATACAAAAAGAATAAGCAGATTTATATATTCAATGCGTGTTGCTTTTTTAATAAAAAATAATGAAGAGAATCCTTCAAGTTTTAATAATAAAATATAGGTTTGATGTATAGTTTTGATAATAATTTTTTCTTGTACAACAACACAAGTAATTTTATACAAAAGAAAGTGTAGTTTTAAAATTTATTTATTTTTTGTTTTATGTCTTTTAACTTAAAATGTTATAAATTAATGCAACTTGTGTCGAAAAATGTTAAAAGCATCAGATCCTTCAACTGAATTTTATGCAAAGAAATATATGTATGTACTATTCAACAAACTCTGCTTGTTAAAATTAATAAATTTGGCATTTTTAATAAAATACAAAAAAAACATTACAATTTTAAAATTAATCTGCTTTACAATTTAAAATAATTATTAAAGTATTATTAAAAAGAATTTTTATTTTAATTATTTTTACATCAATTTTTCACTTAACGAATCATTAAAATTAACGGTAGGGGTTATAAGTAATTCTATGTTGCCATTAAAGATGAGCTGTGCCAAAGTGCATGTTACATCTAAAAGATTATTTTTAGAATTTAAAATTAAATTTTGATTATCCTAAAAAAACAAGTTATGATCAAGAAACGTTAAAAATGTGTTAGGGGTTTATTTTTAAAGTGAAGGGATTTTTTAAATAATTTATTTTTAAAATTTCCTCACGATTAATATAATTAGATAAACGTCTATAAACTCCAAATCTTTGAAAAGCCTTTTCCCAAATAAATAAAATATAAATAGCCAATCCAATAGCCAAAATTAAAAGTCCAACAATCGAAGATTTAAAACTTTGTATAATTGTTATAGACACCAAAGAAAGGCAAACAATCAAAAATATTATTGGCAAAATTAAAGGAACACGAATTGCTTTTTCGTGAACTGGACGTTTGCAAATATTAAATCGGATGTTGAACAGGCAGAGCATTGTTATTGAACGAATTATCTGGGGGTTTTTGAAGATTTTATTTAATATTTGTAAAAATTACTAAAAAAGTTAATGAAGTATTATTTGAGATAATCGTTAAAATTCCCAGTTAAACTGAATCGGATAAAGACGGATCTCGCCCAAAAATCTCGGAGATTGAGATTGAAATTTTATAAAATCTCCATCAAAATTCTCTTAAACACACGCGATGCAATTATCTCATGACAACTTTTATTTTTATGTGTCTGAGTTTAATTTTTAATTTAAAAATCTCTCTCAATAATATCTAATTTTGTAGGTAATAAACAACATAAAATACCCAAACTGTGAATGCAACATAACTAATCATTTCCTCTAAATTGCCAAGAAATGAGAGAAACATTACTAGAACAACCTTTTAATATGAAATTTTAATTTACAAAGATCAAACGAACAAACAAACATGAACAAAAAGAGCAGCTCTAGGACTGTCATGTTCTCTATTTATAACAGAAAAGAAGGCTGGTAAATGCCTCTCTCTAGCTGATGCCCAAAGGAATCGACTGCCCCCAAAGAGGGATGCATTTACTGAACTAATAATTAAAAAATTTTTGAAAAATTTTGAGAAAAATTGTCAATTAAAGAATACCCAATTAAAACGATGCAAACAAGCAAAGCAATTAAATATTTAAAATGAGGGCCCATTGTTTTCTCAGCAAATAACTTTAATAAATAAAATATAATTTTATTTTATTCAAGAAATATTGTTTCTTCCCTTTCCCCTTCAAAATTTTGTTTTTATCCTCGTTAATAAAATGAATTGGTTAGTTTATAAATTAAAACTGTGTTCAAAAGTATAATTTACACAGCGACATTTGTGCCGTTATTACCCTTAAAAATATCCGTCAATAAGGCGAGTCTTTATTTTTGTCTGGAAAATTTTCGGTCTTTTCTATTTTCATTCGCCGCTTTTTATAAATCGGTTTAGATGAAAAAAAAAGTTTTAAATTATCAAAATTTTTTAAAAAATCGTGCCATTGCAACAGCATGCGAAGATTGCATTTCTGTCACCGACAGAACCATAAAAAATGACAAATTCATCAAAACATAAATTGAGGCGCAAACTATCATACTCACAATAATGGCAAAAGGCATAGTTCTGATAAATTATTTTAAAAAATATTTAATTTTTATTTAACCGTCTCGGACTTTTAACATCCTCAATTCCATAATTAAGAATATCCCAACCATCATAACTATATAATCCACCAAAAAGTGCAAGTGCTATATTGCCTGGACGTAAGTTAGTATTTTCAAAGGGATGATAGAAATTATTAAATTGAACATCTTTAAATTAAGAATTATTTTTAAAAATTATTTTCCCAAATAAATTAACTTTTCCCAAATAACAAAAAATAAATTCCACAAATTATAATTATACCACTAGCCACAAATTTGGCAATAACTGAAATAATTTGAACACGGGAGACTACATGACGTAAAGAAAAACAGTTTATGAAGAAAAGTAATACTGAAAGGGAAAAAGAATTTTTTTAGGAAATTATTTTTATTTCAAAAATTTACTAAAAAAATTCTAATAAAATTAACGAAAAAATAATTTTTTTTTAATTAAGGACAAACAAAGTAAACTAAAGGAAATAAGCTTGTGAGCAATAATACGAGTAGATTCATCACAAAATTCTATCTGAAAAATAGATAAAAAATATAATTATAAATAAAAAATATTTAAAAATTTACATTGAGGCATCGGATAGCGTAGACTGAAAAACTAAATTCTGAGGGAAAAAGGAAAAAAATTATTAAATATAAAACACCTCAGAGATTAATTGCAGTACTTAAGTCAGTAAATCTACCTTACAAATTTTTTATTCATACATACACTATAAATAGGCCCGTAGGTTTGAAACCGAATGGACCAAGGAACCTTAAATTCGGCTTCGTAAATCGGAAAATACTAGAAGCTAGAGTTATTGCACTCACTTTGGAGTATTAGTTAGATTAGCTCGATTATTTTAAACTTTCTTAAATTTTTTATTTAAATAATAAATTTGACATACGTTTCTATTTGAATAGCCAATCCACATGGATTAATAAACAAACAAGAAGTACTCATGAAAATAAATGCAATCTTGTTCCTGAGTAATTTAACGTTAAAAATTTATTAGAAAAAAATATTTAAATATATTCTTAAATTATTTTAGAATATTATTTTAAATTAGAGTATTTTACAGTAGTAAAAATTAAGTAAAAATATTATTTTCACCATCTAACATGGCACAAATAGGCAAAATCAGAGCCAGATTTTCTAATACTCGTCCCTAATTCAACGTAACAAAAAGCACCCAAAGTAGCTATAATTCCAGACAATATCCAAATTAAGAGAGAAGCCCCAACAGAATTAACGTTATTTAAAATTGTTGCTGGGGTTATAAATATACCCGAACCTATAATTGCTCCAATAATGTAAGAGACAGCACCCCAACGGCCTTTAAAATATTAATAAAAAATGAATTGATTTTTATTTTGAAAAGTTTTTAAAATATTGCCTAAGACACTTTAAAGGTGTTTTGGATCTCTTAGCATTCTTCGTTTGGTGCGCTGCGCGAAAATTTTTGCATATAAAACAAAAGTCTTTTAAAATATAGTGTTGGATAGAACAAAAAAAGGTTTTGATAATTTCTATAGAGCTGCCTGCATCCATTATCTCTAACAAATCTCTTATTTCAACCATAGATTCCTTCAAAATCTCGCATTCAATGTACAACAAGGTTGTCGGATATGAAAATCTCTAAATATCCGGATCCGATATCTGAACCGAAAATTTCCGTCTATCCGGCCTTTTTCAGATCAGGTATCCGGTGTGCAATAATTTAAATTTTAATAATTTTATTTTTAAAAAATCAGAAAACTAACCCATTTTGTTTTTCTCAGCAATTTCTTTCATTTTAAAATTTTCTTGGTGAAATATTAAATTAAAATTATTAGATTAAATTTATAAAATTAATAAATAACCAAACAAATAAAAATTTTTAAGAAAGAAACGTTAAACAAAATTTTTATTATTAAATAAAAATTGTTTGAAAATAAAAAATACCAACACGACTATTATTTTTAAAATCAATTTCCTTTTAGAAAAACTTAAAAAGCCACGTAATTTTATTAAAAAATTTGAAATAAAAAAGTTTAAATTTAGAAAAGAAAATTAAAATCAATTTTATTTTAAGGGTTTTCTAGTAAAACCCCGAAAATTTATAAAATTCAATAAAATTTGAAATAAAAGTTTTTATTAAACAATAATTTAAAACGAGATTTTTTAGTTAAATTTTTTCTTTAAAATCACAAAAAAATAAAATTGAGACAAAGAGTGAAAATAAAACTTTTATTTAGAACATTAGAGATTTTTATGAATTTTTGGGAAATACAATTTACATATTTTCATAAATTTAACTTTTTTTTATTTTTAAATTTTGCACAAAATTACGAGACTTTTTAAAAGTTTTTAAACGACTTCATTAATTTTTAAAAATTAAATTAAATGAGTAACCTAAAAAGGATAAAATCAATATTTTTGGCTAAAATAAATGGTTATTTTTATTTATTTATTTACCGAATTCACTATTATTATATTGAATAAACAAAGTGTGAAAGAGTAATAAATAAAAAATTATTTTGATTTATTAAAAATATTTCTTGTTAATAAGAATTATTAAAAGTAAAGTACTAAGTATAATTTAAATTAAAAATAAATTTAAAAACAACAGATAAATCAGATGATGGAATTTTACAAATTTTTATTTTTAATTGAAATTTAAAATAAAACTAAAAGAAAAATAATTAGCTATTTGCAGTTTTAATATTTTATTTTTTGATTAATTAGATTATTTTGAGTAGAATTTTCGAATCCGGAATTAAGTCAGGATATCCAAAAATTTTCGGTTCGGAAATCAGATCAGAATATCCCAGGATTTCCCCATATCCGCTTTGACACCGCCTTTCTCTCATCCCTATTGGGGAATTTAATTTACAAAAAATCTTTTAAGAAAACTTTGAAAATTATTTTGGAAAACTAAAATTTTTAGAAGAAATTTGAGACATAAATATATTTAATTATTGTTGCAATATTATTAGTAAATTTATTATGTTATTGACTATTTAATTTTTAATAAATTTTTAAGAATTATTTTTTTATTTTAGCCTACACACCCTACCGACATAATTTTTATTTTTCCTTGTATGTAACCTCTAGATAAACTTTCCTTCCAAATTCATAGTTATCCTTAACTCCACTGATATCCCACTAAATCCATTTGCCTTACACAAATCAAAAGTGTTGTCGGTAGCTAGGATATCGAGGTATTAAGGGTTAAGTATGATGTCGGAGAGGGACTGGGCCGTTAGGGCGCGGGGCCATTAGGGCGCGAGCTTATAAAACAGTGAGTTGGTTATCAAAAAAGATAAAATTTTGCAATAATAACTCTCATGACTTTAACTACGTCTCCAAAAATTTCAGAATTTTTGATCAAGAATTTCGGAAATTGTGGCCAAAAATGTTGATTTTCCGAAAAACCTCATTTTTCGCGGTTTATCGACTATAACTTCAGAAATATTCAATGAAAAATTCTGAAATTTCTGGAGGAGGTAGTCAATGATGTAAAAGAAATTTGAGAAAATTTTCATAAATTTCGGTTTCGCCTAAGTGTCAGTTTCTAGTGCTGGCGCCCTAATGGCCCCGCGCCCTTATGACCCCAACCCGTCGGAGATTATAGGGATTTAAGGTGATATACATATGTAGATGACAAAACAACTTTCTATTGTTTCCATTTATTTTCACGGAATCTTAATGACACACAAATGTTGTTATCCGTACAATTACCAGAGACGGTTTTCAATTTTGTTTTATCGATAATGAGGAACAAAAATAATAGTTTTAAAAACATGACCGAAAAAAATTGTAGAAATGAATAAAAAAAGTAAAATACTACACAATAAATTAGTTAATAGAAAAGTTGACAGGATAATACTCGGATTTCAAAAACAAATTCTTCAACATTTCTTCAATAAAAACTATTTCAATATCAATAATTATTGTAATAACGATCATATCCTAAAGCGTGGCCTAAAAGGTGATTTAAATGTTGATCATCTACAGGAGGTTGATGTTGATTACCTAAAATCATAAATTAATTTTCTGGCTCTTAGTTTCTCGTTATCTTTTTTGAAGAAATTTTCTTTTTTCCCTTTATTTAACATGCCAAAATATTTGAAAATATTACGAAATAGTAAAAATATTTTAGAATATTTTAAATTTAGAAAATAGGGAGAAAACAGGACCAAGTATCAAAAATAAAAAAAATTCTTATTTGTAAAAGTTCAAGCACTAGTGCTCCACCGGAACCGCGAATTCGGCCGGAACCGGAACTGTGTTATTTTGAGAATTTAGAAGGCAGTAGGCTAAATTTTCCATTTAAAAAATGAGAAATCTAACCTTTAGGGGTGTTAAAATGTTCAGGTTTGACTGGAACTGAAGGACCGGAACCGGAACTAAAAAATCCCGAAATTTCCGGCCTACCGCAACCGGAACCCGAACTTCCGGCGAAGCTCTATTAACAACCTAAAAAACAATTACTTTATCAACCCCGACACTTAACCTAAAAATTCCGCACTCTGTTTTTACTACAAATTCAAACCTGGTTGATTTACTGAACGCGTTGAATCAGGTCGAACAACATCACTCACTCCTGTTCTTGTGCTACGACTATTGCCGTTTCTTGAAAAATTCTTTTTTGAATGAAGGCTAGTGATTGTTGATTGAGAGTTGGAAGATGTATTTACAAAATAAATGAAAACAAAGGTAATAAACACAAGAGGGAAAAAGAATTTTGACATTTTTTGGTTGCTAATGTTTTGTCTGAAAGTTTTTCTCGATTTTAGACTCTTGAATGAGTCCTTCCCTATTTTGCTTCATCTTTTATGTATAAAATTTTCACAGAGCATTGATCACTAAATTAGATATATGAATGGAGAATGCCCATTGTCGTGGGGACCGGAAATGCTAAAGAAAGGATTTTTAAGAGATTTAGTGCAGAAATAAAATTTTTTAAATTATTGCTTGCAAATTAACAATCAATGATTATTTAAAATTTAAGCTGTAAAATATTTGCCTCTCGTCTAAGACTTGTCTTCCCTTTACAAATCTAATTAAATAAATTTAAATAAATTTATTTAAAATTTATTAAAGAAAATAATTTTTGAAATTGAAAAGTTTTAAAAGAATAATACATAGAAAGTAGAAATTGATAAAAATTGAAATAATAGATTTTGTAAAATCATATTTGAAAACTTAATCTTCAACATTTTCTCTTCAGAAACTATTTCAGTCATTATAATTATTGTAATGGGGATCATATCCTATAGCGTGGCCCAAGAGATGATCTAAATGTTGATTATCTACAGGAGGTTGATGGTGGTTATCTAAATAATTATTAAAATAAGGAAAAAATTTAAAAAATCTATACAATTAAATCGTATCTGTTTTTTATCCGTTTATTAATAGCCATAAAACACAGGAATTTTTCTGAGCTCAAGAATAAATCTTAGGATTTTTTGTCGTCCCAAATATGTAATAAACATAAACACTCTCCTACCTGGCTGATTTACGGAACGTTCTGAATCAGGTTGAACAATACCACTCACTCCTGTTCCTGTGCTATGACTATCGCCGTTTTTTGAAAAATTGTTTTTTGTGTGAAGGCTAGTGATTGTTGATTGAGAGTTTGAGGACGTATTTACAAAATAAATTGAAACAACAATAAAGAAAAGAGTGAAAAATAATTGTGACATTTTTTTGTTGTTAACGTGTTTTAATTAAGTTTTTAGAATTTAAATTTTAAAATTTTGAAGGGTTTTTCCTTTACTTTTTATTTAGACTTTTACAATGTTTTTTAAATTGTTGAGAAATATTTATATAAATTGTCTATCATTTTATCGCGTTAGATTTTCCCACATTTTCAAAGCAATTTCTTAAATTATTAATTAATTTTTGAAATTAAAAGGATTTATAAGGATTATTAATCATGCTTTCGACACTGGCCGATTTTGAAACAACAAAATGAGCACAAGTTTACAGAATGGGGTAAACAATGAGCAGAAATACACAAGAATTGAATAAAATTAGTCTGTGCTGGTTTTAGTTATCCTGCTCTCAAAATCTTCGTCGATTATAGTTCTTTCTTCTTCGTGGACAAACTTTTGTTTAAAAAATTAAAAGCTAATTAAAAGCCTTTTGAGTTAAAAAGAAATAATTCTTCTTTTGGATAACCGACTTTGGAAGATGGGGGATATTTGATGATATTTTTATAAAATCTTTTGCCAAGTTACATTCTCAATCATATTTTGCAATTAAAAAAATTTTTATAATGCAAATTAACTCCGTCTTATACTAATTTTTTTTAATTATACTAATTGCAAAATATAAAAAAATATTATCTAATAATTAAAAAATTTTCTTTATTAACTGATAATTTTCATTAAATTTTTATTGTATATAATTGACTACAAAAAAACTCCAAAATTCCTTAAATTTATACAGATAAAAAATTTTTTCGATAATCTTTATACTTGATCATTATAGTAATAAAACAAATAATTAATTAAACAATTATTTAGTGGGAAAAAACTAGTAGTGAATGAAATAAATGTTTACATTCAAAACTAACTGATAAATATTTTTCTTTCATAAAATAAATTCCTAAAAAAATTTTTATGAATTTTTATTATCTATTTTTAAATGATAGCTAGCTAGCTTCTTATTTTAATTAAATAATTATTTAAAATAATTCTTTATTTTCTAAGATAATTAAATTGTTTTTTAATTTCTAATTTTAAAGGAAAACATGAGAACTTAATTAAAAAATATTTTTATATAAAAATTTTCTTCAAAGTTTATTTGTTTATCTGTTTCAATTTTAACTGTTAATTATGTCCTCGAAAAGTGGTGGAAACAAGAATAATTACCGGGATCTTATTGCTTTTTGGTTAACAAAAATTTTTTAAATTTTAAAGGAAATAAATTTGAAATAAGGACATCATCACATACCGTATAACCTGTATTAATTGCCCTCCCTTAAATAGTTACCTCAGTTCTAGTAATTAACCGCTCTAGCGATAGGGGTTAAAAAATTAACCGCTCTAGCCACGTAAGGCCTACGTAAGCCTACGTAAGGTCTAGCCTACGGGGCCCGTAGAATAAATTCAAGGGTAAGGTTACTCGGGTAGCGGCAGCGCCGACTTGACCCTAAGCAAAGGGTTTGGCGCCGCTACCCGCTTCTTATTCTCCCTATTTAGGAAAAAATTCATAACTTTTTTTAAAATGGAGATAAAAATTTAATTTTTTTACCAAAATATAGATCAGAGTTTTAACTATGATCTACCAAAAAATCAAAAATTTTGACCGACCTATCTAAAAGTTATGAATTTTCTAGCAAGGTACTACTTTTCCTTAAAAAATGACTAAAAAATGAGGTACTTTTTTCTAAAAATTGCCATAAATTGATTTTCCAAGAAAAAATTCCAAAATTTATATCATTAAATAGAGGACATTTCCAACTATCCAAAAATATTAAATTTATAATTTTTCCATGAGATCTCGATTTTTAAGGATTTTTTAAATAAAATGTCTACACTGCCCCTTAGCAGTGTAACAATTTTACCCTCCACCTCTACCGTATTCTTTTCCTCTTTCTTTTCTTCTTCATTTCTTCGGCGCAAGGATTTTTCTCTTTTCTTCGTTTTGTGGGGTAAAAGTTACTCGGGTAACCTAACCCCGAATTTATTCTACGGGCCCGGAAGGTCGAAACAATAATTACCCAGGGTAGTTATTAAAAGTTTTTTTGAAGTTTATATTATGTATATTAGAAGCTTTTTATTATTCTTTAACCTAATTAAAATGTATAAAAATGAAAATTTTGAGTTTTAAAAATTCTAAAAAGGATGAGAACCTTAATTCAAACTAAACCAAAAAATATTCTTTACCTTTTGAATATTATTTTTAACAAATTTAAAGGATTTTTGGCCTTGCTTGTAATTATGTAAATAATATAATACTTACTGCAGCTGTGGATATTATACACGAACAAAGCGGGGAGAGCAGAAACAAAAATTTAAATAATACTTCTAGATATTGCATTGTATTTAAATTTAAATAAAATTTATTTAATTCCTTTTTTAAAATTTAAAGGAAGAATTGGGAAAACCTCGTTGTGATAAACTAATGTCAACTGGAACGATTTTATTAGCTACTGCTTTGCCTGCTTTTGTAGTTAAATACGCATTTCCGTTCTTTATGAATAGAATCCCTTTTGGGTTAATTTTTTAAATTTAATTTTCACTTTTTTAAATTATTTTTACAAATCCTTGAACAACAAAAAACATTTAACGTTACTCGAGAAAATTGGTGTTTAACGGTTCCAAAAAAAGATTATAGGCTTTTAGACGATTTTCTATTATTGTGAAAGGTAGGGGTGTGGGAGGGGGAGGGTTGGGGGCGGTTGGGTCGGGGAGAAGCCTCAAATAAGGATCAGTGTAAAACTACAGATAATTTTATAATAGGAAACTTTAAAACACTTTAATAACCTCAGAACATTTAGATTACCTTTGCATACAATTACCTTTTTTCAATTTATTTTTAATAAACTATAAGTCTATATTTTAAGATTCCGCATCTTTTTGGTTTGCTTTACTCATTCAACATCTTATATACTTGTTGCCTTCTCAACAAGCATACAAATGTCCCTATTAGGGGTTGTTTTTGACTCAATTTCTCTCGGAATTGGACAAATATGTTTACCTGCCCTTACTTCACATTATTCAAAGTTATATTTTTGGAATTATAGAAAACTGTTAATAACCTTAGATCAACGCTATCTGCTTGGACGGCAGGTACTGGGGCTTCTAGTATAATACCATCACTGGCATATAGTGTTCTATCAGAACCTAAATTCTTTAACCTGTCTACAAGGACTGTTACTCTTGTGATGCTTATTGTGCCAATGATGTTTGCTTTAAGGTAGTTTTAGGGCAATAATCAAGATTTCTATGTCCAATATTTTTGAACGGTATATTTGACCCGTTCAACAGTTTCTATGTTCATCTATTTAAAATATGGGAAACATTTAGATACAAATACTTAATCATTTTATTAAAGTTATTGGTTTGTACTCTCGCCTTCACCAACTGTTCATAGAATGGAATTATTAAAACCTTCAACATGGATTGTCCCAGCACAGAAAACTTCTCGAAAAATTAAGATTAATGTAGTGCCCGAGCCTTTACCCAACATTATTAAAGTTTCAACTAATGGAGGAGAAAAAAATAAAGATATTAATAATCTCCAAAACAATAAGGTAGGTTAAGCAAAATAAGGTAGTTTTCTCTCCTATATCCCCATATGAGTAGGCAATAATAGATTTTTAAAATTAATGGACTAATAAGTAAAGCCAGAGTCATAATAAGAGGTATAGTAGGTCGAGGCATCACCGAGGCCTCAATCATTTAGAGTAATATCAATTGGCTTGATTTCCCTAATTTCCCTAAATTTTTGATTTTTTAATTGATTTCCCTAATTTCCCTAAATCATAAAAAATTTCCCTAAATCATAACATACATGCCATCATTAGTAATCCCCTTTATCCCTAAATCCCCCTCAATCCTTCGGACCCGTTATCTCTAAAAATGTTATCCCTTATCCAAATCCTTATCTATTCTTTCGCTGATTCAGTGGATGAATAGATCTCCGATATCCTAGATCTTTGATCCACTTGATCAATAATACCATCAAAAATACCTTGATTTACTCTGTAATCCTCCAAGCATTAGTTCAAATTCCCTTGGGAGGATATTCTATCAAATTTTGATAGAATATCTTTTCCACCATTGGTGCATAATCCTGGTTGAACAACATCCCCAATTGTTAAAAGAACCTGACTCATGATTGGGACAATCCTCGGTCCTTGACATCTCTAATCAGAAGTAAAGTAATTATTAAAGTAAATAAAACCTTCGAAGAGTACTTACAAATCCTTTTTAAATTTCAAAGAAATTTAATTATAATAAGTTCCAGGAATCTTATTTGATTAACACAAATGAGCAAGCCTTCACGCATGAATTTTCTCTTGCCTCAAAGCTAAAAATGATTTTGGTTGGAAATTTAAATTATTTAAAATTAAATTGTTAATTATTAGAATTATTTTTAAATTATGTAATCTATACAATAAATTCAATATTAGTAATAAAATAATTATTATTTATCTATTTACTAGCCTCTCCAGCAATACATGCTTCCGCTTACTATTGTATACTTAGCTGAATATATATCAAACTCTGGATTGGTTCGGATTTTTTATGATTAAATCAATTTAAACTATTTTACTTTAAAAAAATCGAGGGGTTAAAATTACTTGTTATTTTTTTGAACCCAAAAACCGAAAAATTTTGAATAATTAAAAATTAATCACATTAAACTGGGGACTTTGGGAACATGTTTTTTGTGACAAAATTTTTGATGTTGGTTGTTATGCTTAGATCCTAATACCCATTTACATGTTTTCGTCATACTATAATGGGCGTATTCGGATATCCGAAATCTTTTTGAATATGGGATACTTTTATCTGGGGATTTCCCAGAATACTTTTATTTGGTTTTATATATTTTGTAGTTTCAATTAATTCATTTTGACTGTGATCACAGCTTTGATTTATCACTTGAAAGTCAATTTCGTTGGTATTTTACATTATATATGTTCGGTGTGTTTTGTGTACGTTCAGTCATTGTATTAATTACTGTACCCTCATTTATTCTGTGTTCACTTCCTTTTATTCAGGTAATTTTAAACTTTTTTTGACTAGAATTGTCTTAATTAAATTTTTCTAAATAAATTAAAAAATAATTTTATTTTTTTTTAATTTTTAGTGTTTAATTACAGCAATTCTTTACTTTCAATCCCTACATTTCTTTATACCTCATATTTCCATTGTTTTTGTTTTGGCTTTTATTCAGGGTGGTATTAGCGGTATCTCTTATGGAGGTACATTAGACAGAATACATAAGAAGGTATTTTATAGTTGAAAAATTAACATTAAAAATTCGATAAGAGGGGATCTATCTAAATTTATAATATATTTTATAAAGTAAACTTTCATTATAATATTCCAATTATTATCGTTAAGAAGTAATTTTGCTTACTAGTAAATTTGAATATTTACAAACCTGAACTTTTATTTTAATGAAATAATTAATTATAAAGATACCTCATTGAAATATAAAAATTATTTTTGACAAAATATATATTTTTTTATTTTTTTGAAAAAATTCTAAAATTTCATAAAGAAAAAAATTCAATTTAATAATTACTTTATAGTCTGAATTGAAAGCTCGAGAGTTTAATATGGCAGTTGTTGCAACAAGCGATACTACTGGTATTTGTTTGGCAGGATTTGCTTCAATTTTTATACACAACTATATTTGCAGCCGTTATTTAAATTCATACCCATAAATTTTATTTGATAATAATGTTGCTTATTTAATATATTTGCTTATTTTTAAATAATAAAAAATTTTTTTGAAAATCATTTAAAGCCTTTATATTAGAAATTTTTTCTATTTGAACCTGTGTCGGTAACCTAATATATTAAAGTATGGCAAGATTCAATTCTTTCAGTTGCAGTTCTTGGGAATTTTTGGTTTTAATAAAATTTTAAAAATCCCTAAACTTTTCTTAGATTGTTTCATTTTCCTTAAGAAAATTAAAATAAAATCCTCTCCAATTATTTAACCTTTCCTTCAACTTACGTCTAGACAAAAAAAATTTTCTACTGCTATAGACAGTCTAGAATATAGATTTTCAATTTTTGAATTTAATTTTTTTCTCTAACTTGTCTATCTTAAGAGTTTTACCAATTGAGATTTTTTCTACAAAGCCATTGTTAGCTTGGCATGGCATATGATATGCCTTACACATGACATGTCTTATGAATTAAAAAAATTTATTATAGCCAGTCAATTCTTTATATAAATTTAAAATAAAGTAAATTAATTTATTTAATTCTAAAAATTAAAGGGAAGAGAATTTTAGATATCCTCAATGAGTTTTAAAAGTTTTAAAAAATGTAAATATAAGGTAGATTTATAAATAAATCTTCAGCTATACATATTTGGGGAGAATCTTTCCCTTGATGAAAGGGGGTTTTATTAAAAAAACTTATTTAATAAACCTATATTTTTGAATAATCTCGTCTTTTTTCCTATTTCCACCTGTCAGAATATTTACTAAACAAAATTTTGTTAACTAATTTTTAAACTTTTTTTAAAATTATTTCCCATCTTATAAAATTTATTGGATATTTTTACTCTAACATCTAATTATATAATTGAGAAGGGTTTGTGTGTTTGTTTGTCCGTCTGTCTGTCCTTTTATAGACAAGTGGGTTTTTATAGTAAAATGATTTGGGGGAGTGAAGAAAAGGGGGTTTTTATAGTAAAGCGTTGCCAGTTGAAAAAGGTTGAAAGGGTAAGCAGATAGTATAAAAGCAGGGTATTTTGGTCAGTCCTCAACTGATTTCAAAACTTCTCAACATTGCCGTGCTTTGTTCTACGTCAACGTTTGTTGGAGTCCTGTGTCCTCTTAAGCCAGTACTCTTCTCCTCTTGCTAGACGTCAACGATCATTTGTCAAGTGCTAGACGTCAACGTTCATGTGTCAAGTGCTAGACGTCAACGTTCATCTGTCAAGTGCTAGACGTCAACGTTCTGTGTAAAGTCCTAGACGTCAACGTTCATGTGTCAAGTGCTAGACGTCAACGTTCTGTGCCAAGTCCTAGACGTCAAAGTTCATGTGTCAAGTGCTAGACGTCAACGTTCATTTGAAGTGCTAGACGTCAACGTTCATGTGTCAAGTGCTAGACTTCAACGTTCATTTGAAGTGCTAGACGTCAACGTTCTGTGTCAAGTCCTAGACGTCAACGTTCATGTGTCAAGTGCTAGACGTCAACGTTCATGTGTCAAGTGCTAGATGTCAACGTTCATGTGTCAAGTGCTAGACGTCAACGTTCATGTGTCAAGTGCTAGACGTCAACGCTGTGAAAAAGGTTGAATATGAAGCAGGCGGAATATCGAAACAGGCGGAAATTGAAAATTTGTTTAGTAGTTAGCCGAGAGGAACTCCTTAGTAGAAGGCTTCCCCTTCGCTAGCCCGCTCATTTAGCTCCTATTGCAATGAAGCTTTCTACCTGTAATGAGTTGGAAGTACAGCCGCCAGGAACTTTTATGGGGTGAGTTTTTTGATGTCTTTTGAAATGAAAAATACTTTTAGGCATTGTTGTGGAATTGTGGCTAAGGTTTGTAAATCAAAAGCAAAAACTACAGTTTTAATGAAATGCAGCACTGGTCAGATTTTTGTGGTCACTGCTTTTGCAACTGTAGTTGGGAAGTATGGTGTTTTTGTAGAGCTGTGTCAGGAAGGAAGTGTGAGTCTAACAATCAGAAGTTTTATTTTTCGATTTAGGTCGTCGATTTAAACCTATTAAAGATACAAGCGTTTGATGTAAAGCGCTTTGATGGGAAAAAGATTTACAGTACGTTTTTGGATTATGAATTTGTTGTTACGTCGGCAACGATTATTAAATCTCAAGGAATTCCTGTCAAAAAAGTTGCGACGTTTAAAGAAATGGATTCAGGAGGGACTTATAGTTAGTTATGCGATAATTCAAGTTAAATTATTACTTTTAGGTTTTAATTGTGTGCTGGCCTCTACTTTTTTTAATATTGAAGAGAATTTCTGTGCAATTATTGCGGATGATGACAACAAGCGGGCAGATCTTAATGTGTTAGGGAATAAAGAAAAAGACAAATTCATCGAGTTTGCACCTGGTGAGGAGATTGAAATCAAAAAAGGCTTTGTTGTGATTGAAGGTAAAGTTAATTTACCTACTTACTTTTATATATTTTTTTAAATTTAGATCAATGCCTGCATGTAAAAGTTCAAGTTGATGATATGGAATTCATGAATAATAAGAAACCAGTTTCAAAACTCCTCACAACACCAGTTAAACATAAGAAGGATACAGTGAAAAAAGATTAATGTTTTGTGATATCCAAATGATAATTATTAAGTTAATGTAATATTGTATTTTGAAATTGTTCTTTTTAATAGGAATTGCTTGCTTATTGATTAAACTGTTAGCCCATTGTTTTAAGAAAGGGTTAGGGTAACGAAAAATAAGAAAGGGCTATGATAACAAAATCATGCTTTAATGTTTTCTCTGAGTAGCCCGATAATTTTCATATTTGAGTAAATGGCTTTAGATGTTTTGATAGTTGTTTAAGAAAGGAAAGAATTCATCTAAGAGGTTGAGAGGATTTTGATTTGCTTTGCTAGCGAGGTGGGGCGGCCGAAGGCCGCCCTACCCCGCTAGTTAATTAAAATTTAAATTCTAACTAGTATATTTTAGATGAAACTATTTCATCTATTATTTCAACAATTATTATTTTTTGTGTTTACTATATATTTTCAAGGTAAATTAATCATTCTTAAAAATACGGGCTTCCATATATTATCAGCTGAAATCAGTGACTAATTAAAGAAATTTAGCGCTCGCTTTTAGTTCTTTAAGAGAAATTTTTGGTGTTTTACGTGACAGAAGTCTAGGGAATTTTGGCTTTTGGACAAAGCCAAAATTTTTCAACGTTTACCTCATCTAATCTTTTTTTTCATAAATTTCTAAAAAAATTTCAAATAAATATAAAATTCATTTATTTTAATCTAAAAACAAATTTTATTAGATTCTTTTTTAATTTATTTAAGGAGCATCGGTATCTGCAAGCATTTTTTCTGGCTGTTTCAAATCCAAGAGTATCATTACTAAATTAGTAATTGTTCTAAAAATATTTCTAAAAGTTTATCATTCATTTTGGAAATCAGAGAATAAATGCGTAGCATTAAAAGTCTACGAGCAACATGGATGGGAGAGAGAAGTTGCTTTACTTGAACATTTTAGTAAACTGAATCCAAAAATGAATCATGTTATAGAGATGTATGGATAGTAAGTTTTATTTTATATTAAAAATTTACATACTACGTTTCATGAAATTGACAAAATATTAAATTTAAATTATTTTAATAATCAACAATTTTTAAAAATAAATTTAAATTAAATGTCTATTAGTGGAATGTGCGATTTTTGGAATTGACAAATTTTCAATTTTAATTTTGCCCCAAATTTATTAAAAATTTAAAATAATATATGAAGATGTTGACCCATAATTTTCAAAATATAATAGACAAATTCAGATGGGGGTTTCTAATTATGCCGAGATTAGATGCGCACTTCAATTTAGTATACCTTTCTAAAATTTGATTTTTCAAAGAGAAGAGGAGCATTTGAAATCAATGATAGGGGATATTCAATAGTTTCTTTTGAAATAAACCTTCATATTAGATAAGATTTAACTAGCTTTCAGATTTTATCACATCCCCCTCTAAAAATAATTTTTTAACTTTAAGTCAAATTTATAATGGCCAAATGTATATAGCTTTGGAACTTGGTGGAGTTAATTTGAAAAGTTACATTCAAAATCTCCATGGAAAAGAATCTTATAAAACATGGGAAAATTTTGAAAATATTGTTTTGAAACTTGTTAAAGGCGCTGCTATAGCTGTTAAGGAATTCCACAGATGTAGGAATTACATATAATTCCCAATTATTAAAAAAATAATTATTTATTAAATTTAGATGCAATTCATCTTGATATTAAAGGAGAAAATTTTGTTTTGGATAAGGAACAGAAAAACGGGGAGGACGTTATTTACAGTAAACTTATAGATTTTAATGTTTCTGTGCTAAAATCGAACGTAAATAAAGCCCCAGTTCGTTCTGCACATCCATTGTATAAAGCTCCAGAAATTCGTGGGAATGATGTAAACAAGGAAAGCTTTGTTTTATTTAAATTAAAAAATTATTATATAAATATTTAAAATTTGTATTTAAAATTTATACTGGCAATATTATTAACTTGAAGGTACGAGCCCCTATTTAAATCCTCGTTTTTATTCAGCATTGCGGTGCCGGATTTGGTTAAGCTTATCATTACATTGAACCCACGTAATCGAAACAGATTGAATAGATTTCTGACGTTTAATTTGGTCCGCTGAAAAGGAAAAATACGATGATATCAGTTTTCAAACTACATATAAAATTTAAAAAACTAACTATACTCTTTCAACAAATAAAGGGGAGAAGAGAAAATTACCCACAACTGATATACATATAAATTAAATTTATTTAGCATTAATTTATTATTTCTCTTATCAAAACTAAATCGAATCACATTTCAGATAACCCAAAAGGTGGATGTTTGGTCATTTGGTGTAATGTGTTTTCAATTTTTTCATTATTATTTAGAGGGCAATTTTATTCCTTCTCATATTATAAACCCTGATGAAGAATTAAAAAAATATCGAGATAACAGTGAATATAACACAATTTTACATCGTGTTATA